ATATTTAAAATAAATTATGCAAAAGAAAAGAAGATCACCAAGTAAATGATAAGAACTAAATTTTCCTTAACTATATGCTCCAGAAGTCCTGAATTGTTTAACTTTCAGAATAACGCGGACTATTTTACGAATCAGACTATCGCATATTTCTTTTGTTGTATAAGATTTAAATGAAAAATTTATCGTAATCACCCAATTCCCCGAGGCATGAAGGCGAGTGAGATATTATTCGAGGCAGACTTGGAATCCAACCCTACGACAGAGAGGAGTTTAAACGAAATTAAGCACCCCTTTCTGAAATTAAAAACCCAACTATCTGATGACGATCTATTTCTCGACCGCGTCGCGCCGGTGAAACTAGTCTCCAACAACGTAACCATTAGTGGTGTAAACTTTCGTGCGAAAAGTGTACAATTTATTAATTAAATCACCATCGTATTTACAATTTGTGCAGTCTGTTGCACAAGAACGCGCGTTTACTCTCATATCATTGCCTCAAAATTAAAATTCTTCGTATCGTTTGAAAGATCGTTAGATAGCATTTTTATGCTATTATCTGATATAAAAGATAATGTAATAACATAATGTAGTAATATAAATACAATAATCTGAAAGAAAACTCGTATATGGTTTGGAAAGTAGAAAATCAACTTTGATACGTTATATTAGATTGGCCATCCCGGTTGGCCGATCCAGGAAAAATTGGTCTCATCGGTGACAGAGATTTAAAGTAGCCACATTTCCAAAATGATATAGCGATCATTACACGTATCACGTACTGAAAATTTAGTGGAAAGTATGGTGAAACGCAGCCTGGCAGCTGAACTGAATATTATATTGGGTAATAGCACAAGTGTTAGGTAATGACACGAGTGTCTAATGGTCTTTCAAACGACACAAAAAAATTTTGTAAGGCATGACGAGACACGGGAGCAATCGCCCACACGTTCTCCTGTGACAGACCATACTTATTTACATAAATATAATACAATCCATCATTTACAAATATATGCACGCGATATGTATTTGACTCTCGACACGTCCCTACTTTCGCACGTTTTGTTTCGGCACGGATTGATTGATTTTTCAAGAAAAATAGACATTGCGCAATTACCTATAGAATAGCTTGAAATCTCTAGCGAACCGTCCGTCGATTATATCGGAGGATAATCGTTCGTATAAGCCTTTATTGTGATATCTGGCCGGCGAGAATGAGATCGCTCTGATGAGGGAGCGATCGGCCGCAGTTTGCGAGCAAATAAGGTACCCTTCTACGTGTGGTAATAAACCGTTAAGAGAGCGAGTCGCGTCATATTGCGTACATGTAATATTACACATCGAGCACGTTCACTCGAACGCGATTTTGCGATTTATATATAGGCTCGGCTTGCTCCGTTACGCGCGTCCCGCACCGATATCCTCGAGATTCTTCTTCTTTCATACCCCGTTGTGCCCGCTTTGGGTAACGCGATCGCGGTAATAATCGCGTCCGCGACGGAGAGAAAAATGAATCGAATCACCGAGGCATGAACTTTCCTCTCTGTCTTGAAATCGGATCGTCTCTAGCGGCGCTTTTCTACCACGGATACTAGTCTTCTCTCGAAAACAATGGTACGGAAAGATGCGAGAATAATACCAACACCTTCGCCCATATATGTACACATATTGAGAAAAAAAGACTGTTTATATAATTAAATTAATTTACTTGTCTTTATTTCTGTCAAATATAATATGTTTGATATAAATACATATATGTTCTTCATCGAAAGAAATAAACATACATTCAAAAAAATATGTAAGTATATGATTACTCCACGCAAGTAATAATTACTTGTTTCAAATATTTCAAAAGTTCCGCGATATATCATAAGTTTATCACAAGCACTAAATTTTTATTCACAAAATATATTTTACATCCCCTAGTAAGTTTAATACTTCAATAAAATTGATTAAATGAAAACAAATTCGTTTTGTTCGTATTAAAAAATTCGTTTTTTTGATCAATTTTATATTAAAAAAGAAATCAATTTTTGTTCTTTTTTTTAATATATAATACTTCTTCTACAATTTTATAATAAGTATATTTTAAGATTGTTTTAAATAAAAAAAGTATTTTTTATTAAAGATAACTGTTGAGTAATAACTTTTCTTAGAAATCAAATGACATTTTTGCGTGTAAACTGAATTAATTTAATGAAACAATTTTTTTCAGTTTGAAATTTTCTACAAGAAAGCCTTATCTGTAGAAAATTTCAAGACATATTTTAATTACTATAACACATCTTTTTAGATAAAATAATGCGAAGAAACCTATTTCATTCTTTGTTAATAAATTGTTAATTAATATCTGCTTTCAAAAAGTATAAACAAATTTTTTTAAAAGATATCTCCTTTACGAATACTTTTTGCACTCACTATATATGATACATTAAGAGTAAGAAAGTTCTCTCGACGCTGCTTTCGCACCTGTTCGAAACCGTATCTCGAATACAAATCTTTCCGAAGGCTGCTCGAAATATCGACATTAACGATTATAAAACACTACGTAACGTGACTTCAATAATCGACAGAGTATTCATGGCGGCGATCGATAAAACGCGTATTAGAAATTGCATTCTTTTCGTATTTACATCAGCTGAAGAGAAACTTGAAGCCGTCGAAATGGTTTATGGTGCTCCTAGTGAAAATGCCATTATTCATTCTATTGCAAACGCATCTTCCTTAAATGTATAATCTAGTATTTAGTTCGAGATTAACGTTCTTCGGCATCACTGACCTACATAGACACGTATGGTAAATGTATCACGTGGGCAGTGGATAACCCAATTGTTGGATAAAAAATGAGAGAAATTTTTAATATTGATAAGCTTTTAATGAATATACGTATGACTCTAAATAAAACCGTAGTTTATAAAAATTAATAACAAATTTATTTAAAGTCATATATGTATCGTTGAAAGCTCAATATCAAAATGTCTTTCATTTCATCCAATAATTGGGGTATGTCCAATCACCAGTACATCTACCTCCGACCGGCAATTCTCTTCTCATCGAGAACTCACCTCGCCGCACGAGCGTCCAATAAATAACTCGCGGGTCGAGCACCCATGGATGAAATCAGAGTGAAATGCTTCGCACATCGCGCGCAGCGCATATCAAAGTTTTTCAAGAGGACGTTACGAATGCCGGTCATATCCCGGCAGCCACATACGGTCGCGTAACAGCGACGGACGACCACCTACCTATCTGGCAGAAACAGATTCGCTGTTCTTCAGTTCTTACTCTCTCTCTCTCTCTTCCTCGGCGTCTAAACGAGCAACGGGTAATCGCACAGCAACAAAGTATTCACGGAAGAAAGTAACATTGGATAACGAGCGATCGCGTCCGGCGTTCGCGCCGATGATGATGACGGTCCCCGATGTGTGGATAACCCGCGGGGACGTTAAGATCGGTTTACACACGGTAGCCGATTCTTCCTTTTACACGCTATATCACGTTTTACTCTTACCGCGAGTCGTAGTAAATAATGAATAATTCATCGGTGCCATCGATCGAGTGGATAGTTATGTCAAGAGCGGTTTCGCGGCATTCCTGGGATTACGATAGCGCGATGAATAACTCACCTTTATGGAGTTTCAGACGCCACCGATTAATCGAATATTTAAATTAGCGGACACCCGTGTGTTCAATAAGAGATGTTACGTTTTATTAAACAAAAGCCGCACCAGAAATATCTTCTCGCACATTTTACGTAATGCGTATATACTGTGCGGTAACCACGACGGTACGAAGAAAGCGAAAAATTACTGCAGTCAATGATACAGTTTTTATCACATTTGTGAACGTTCATGTTTTAAACACATTTTCTCCGTTGTACTCTCCATCCACTAAATTGTCTTCCAATCTTGATTAACTATCTTCTTTTATAAACAATTTGCTGCGGTCTCTACATAAAAATTAAGAAAAATCGCAATTGCAAAGTTGGCGATGTACTGCGATATTATTGGAATATTGCTGCAATATCGCTGACTTATATTAGACTATAGGGACATGTTAGACCTTGAAAAAATAATTAGTGTATCCCATTAATTATTTTTAATACACTAATTTTTTTTTAACAATATCGAGAATTTTAATATATGGCTGTGTGCTTAGTTATGTTACTTTAGTTGAAAAATAATGACTGAACATTCAATATTAAAAACGTTATCAATAATAAAATTTTTAATATTGACTAATATTGGTTATATTACCTTTCAACTAACTATGCAACTAACATAAAAACTTTGTCATTAAAGTAATAATTTTTGTGTTTCTAGATACCCTCTTACGTCTTGTACTTTATCGAGATGTTTCTTACGATTTATTTAAGCTAACAAATAATTAATAATATACATTTAATTATATACAATATTTGCCGAAATAATTTAATAAACATTGAATTTATTTTAATAATGCAAGCTACAATCATATTGTTTAACTTTCGTTGATGAGCTATATCTGAAGAAACCGCCGATTGGAATTATCGTCGGATATGAGAGAGAATGAATATACTTTCGCGTTCCAATATATACGGAAGGAAAAATCTCGGCCAGGTAACGTCAGCTAGATCGGCGCGTAAATCGTTCCGCGAGACGATGAATCTTCATTTCTGGAGTACTTTCATTTTCTAGCTGTGTCGCGCACCTTTGGTCCGTGAACTGCAGCTGCGGATTGAATCGCGGTGGCTGAAGAAAAGGCGGTGGTGGAGGCGGCAGCTACGTCGGCGAATGATGACGACGAAAGAAGAAACCCTCTTGAGGAGGCCGCGTAACGACGGCGACGCGACCACGAATACCGTCTACCTTCCTGTGCCTTCCTTTTCCGTGGGTATCCCCTCGGTGGCCTCTATAAAAGTTCGGAAGAGCCTCGACCGCACGCCACACGCGTGAAAGCCCGCAAGTGAAACGCTCGAGATACCCTCTTTTTCTACGTGCCTTACATTTCGGGAGTACCTTGAGCCTCCGGCGTACACGTGGGAGAGAAAATGCGGACCACCGCGGTAAGTAACAACGCGCGCCAACGTATACGTTTTTAATTATTGAATTCGATTATCGTCGGTCTCTTACGCTCGTTTCCACCAACGGTACTCTCTAAAACTTTTAGAGTGAATTGTCACTCTGACGAGTGAAATCTCACTCTTCAAGATTGAAAACTGAGCCATTCTTTTTCAAGATTGGCTCAATTTTCACTCTTTAGAATGAGGTTCTACTGTAAAGAATTTAGAGAGTAGATTAACTTTAATTTCTATCCAGCTTACTCTTTGCTTTTTCTGATTCTTAAGAGGTTGGTTTCACCACTTCGGTTAATTTATCAGCCAATTATTCTATTGAAATTCATCAATTGCATGTGTTGTAACAGAACACGTTAAACAGAGTTGACCAGAATTTGTTAGAATCACAGTTGACACTTGATCGACCGATCGAGTCAATCAGATACGATGAAACTGAACCTTATTAGAACTAACAAAAATGAAGAGTAATACATTTCTACCAATGCAAAATGTATATCTTATTTCAATTTACTTTGCAATTTTGTTTTAGTTCTTAAAATGAAGTTGAACCGAGATTAAAGTTATAATTTATATTATTATATTATAATAAATTAACTTTAATGTCGGTTCAACTTACTTTTTTCTCCAGTGCTTGAGATTGAGTTCTCTTACATTTTATACAACATTTTCTAATTCTAAAAACAAAAATAAGAGGTTGAATTGAAATTAAAATTAATATATTGTTTGAATCGAGATTATATAAAGTTAATCTATACGTTGGTAGAAATTAAAAATGCAGTTATTTTCAAAAATACAATCAGTGCGTTTTTTTTTCTACTATCGGCGTTAATTCGCGTTCCTCACTCTTGAAATTCGGAGATGAATGCGAGACGAGAATTTCATCGGCAAGTGGAATATCTCAATTAAATCGTCGCTTTCATTTATGGCGCAAGGCGAGAGACGTTGAAAAATCGAAGCAAATTATATGCTTGCCGTTTCGTTTGTGAAAATTCATACGCGAATGACTGTACATCGTGCGTGTCGGGAAAGCGTTTTATATCGATGACTAATATGTTTATGACGAGTGCAATTTTCCTGAATCGAATGGAGCTCTCTTCGAGAGCGCGATCTGCGAGGCTCGAACAAACGTTCGAGTCTCTTCTTCGCAATGTTCAAGACCGATTACTAAATTTAAACGTCAACTGACGCAATCCTCTTACCAAGTAAATGCGTAAGTCAATTGATCGAATGACCAGGTGCATTTAATGAGAGTAACTTTCGGTCCGTTCTTACGAAACCGTCATGCAATCCATCCGCTGGATACACTCAGCTCATCTCGAGCCTTTCGTTTTTCTTCAGCATTTTTCCACGTCGACGAGACTTATGCGGGATTAATAATTCATATGCGAGGGAATTTATCGAAAGGCAAGCTTATTCGAAATATCCTTCAAAGAATGCAGATGATATTTCATCGTTCTGAGAAAAACCGGTGGCCGGTTTACATCACCGCGGTGACTCCAGCGGTTGGTTCGGCTCTTCTTTTTTAGACGATGGAAAGTGACGGTGATCGCATTTTCCCGAGGAGAGAAAAAATACGTCGAGCGTGCATCCCACTGAGCGCGAGGTGCATCGGCATGAATCTCCCGCGGATTACACCGCTCATCGCGGTGCGAGCAAAAGTAAAAGGATCCCGCCTATGCTCCCGCTCTACTCACCGACACGGTCTCGATAATTATAGCGCGAAGGAAAATGGGGAAAGCGGCTCCAGAACTCTAGCATGCGGAGCGGAGTTTCGATGCGGCACTAAAAGCATGATTAAATGATCGGAGGGGTCGTTAAGTAAGTAGGAAGCTTCGCTCGAGCGGAGTGAGTTATCGCGCACATCGCACGCCGCGGCGTCTTCTTCCGTTCACGCTAATGGGACATGCCCGTTGTACGGAATGGGAAATGCTATTCGGAATTAATGGACTCTCTCGCGGAAAGGATCAAGAATCGAGAATTCCGAGGAGGATTTGTCGGGCGGACAACCGACGTTCATTTAAGAGAGCGTAATTGCCGAGATTGAGCTCGCCTTGCGGCTTATGTGATTGTAACATTCCGGATTTAAATTATGTTTTATCATAAAAGCGACGGACAGAGAGAGAGAGAGAGAGAGAGAGAGAGAGAGAGAGAGAGACAGAGAGAGATTTACACAGAAAGAATGATTTTGTTTAAGTATTTAAAAATTTACTAGATACATATCAAATAATTTTGTTAGACTATCAAAATAATTACATGTATTGATATTTAGTCGTATAATTATATATAATTTAAATAATTATCTATATAACGTTCAAATTAATTGTTAAAACGTTGCTCAAAAACTTTTTGCAGCCTTATTCATTTTACGAACATCTTATATAATTATTTTAATAATTCAATAAAATTTTCAGATCTACATCTAAATTTTTAGATTTTTTAACAAAATTGTCTTACGTGCAGTAATAAAAAAAAATAAAATTCATTTAGTGTATAAAAATCACTTATCTTTCTTTGTCCTTCTTCTTTGACACATGTAGTAATTTCAATTTGAAAATAATGAAATGTATTTTTTCATTTATTAAATATTTAAAACTTATATTATGAGTGTTGTGAGTAAATGTTATTTTAAATCTCTAGTCAAGTTTAGGGATAACTTTTCTTTTACATGTTGAAATATACAGTGTTTGAAAATCTATAAAGCATTGTAAGCTAATCAGATCCTATATGAATAAAATGTGATACTTTGACCCAGTCCATCGGAAATTCATAATCAAATAAAAGGAGAAAAATAAAGAACATAATGCGGAGCTTATTGAAAATCGTTAACGAGTTCCCTGACATGCGAATAATTCAAGAATCGCATCGCGTCGTATTTATCTTTTTACTGAACATAAATACCTGAATAATCGCATGTATGATTACAAGTTAGACCATACAATAATTCGCAATAAACGAATCATTGTATTTTCATAATTTGGCCGATAGCGATGAGAAATTGCTAAATAGAAATGTTCATCGTATTGAATTCATTATGCATGTTAGGCAATAGCATGTCGTGTATTTCATCCATTCACACCGTATCGCTATGGACGACGTAATCTGTAAAATAAATCACTATTACGCGCATTTTATCACGAACGTGATGTATTCGACATGCCAGTCGCTAATGATAAATTATCGACGAATTATTGATTATGCGAAGAAAGTATTACAGCGTCAATTACACTCAAGACACAACCGTGTGTTTCTTAATGAAAAATTATATATATATATATTATATATAGATATGTATATTACATTTATTATTTTTTATAAGTTGAAATATAATAGTGTTGTAATATTTTGTCACTGAGAATTATTCAATCAATTACGAGTTTTAATCAATTTTTACGAATCACATTAATAAAAATTACCATGCATTTTGCAAAAAGTTATATAATCGTTTCAAAAAGGATTAAACTAAAATTTCTATGTATACTGAAAAATATTTAACTAAATTTTAATATATTTTATTTTCAATAGTACTAATTAAGCGTTTATTTAATTTGGTATAAGAACCATTAATTTAACTACAATTTTTTAAAATTAATATTCTTGGTTCTTATATCAAATAAAAGTTCAAATTTAGTAAATATGTAATTAGTATTATTTACACAAATATTTATTAAAAAGTACATTTTTCAGTCTATAACACTTACGTTACAATCACTCTTTTTTTATTATTCAATAATTTTTGTTATAATAGCAAAACGTACAACTCGCATGAAAGCAATTGCACTAAAGTTGTACTAAAATTTTATTCTGAGTGGAATTTAATTTCGTTTCTGGTTTGCAAAAACCTTAAAAATAATTAAAACAATTTTTTTTGTATAATATGTACATATATTATAATACGGGTGAATTTTTTGAATAAGTGTCACAACTCTCGTTGCACGTATAATGCCATAATATGTCTCAGACTAGAAATATCTTTATTGTAACTTTCGCTCCAACTCTCTTCGAGCATGTTAACATTGCAGTCACGATCATCATGATGCCTATTTTCTCTTTTAACAGAGCACGATTTTTGCGATCGTCTGCTCGTCGATCGCGCTGACGGTCGCGAAACCGGCGCCGGAGCCACCGGTGAGTTCATACTTTCCACCCTCTGGAGGTGGTGGTGGTGGTGGTGGTGGTGGTGGCGGCGGCGGCGGCTACGGGCCGCCAGCTCCAGCTTACGGCCCCCCACAGCAAAACCCGGTGATCCACAAGCACGTGTACGTCCACGTGCCGCCGCCAGAAGCGCCGGAGTACAAAGCGCCCAAGCATGTGCCGCAACCACAGCCGCCACAGAAACACTACAAGATAGTGTTCATCAAGGCGCCAACTCCGCCGACGCCGACCGCGCCGCAACTGCCACCGCTGCCGCAGCAAGATGAGGAGAAGACGTTGATCTATGTCCTGGTGAAGAAACCCGAAGAGGCGCCCGAGGTCGTGTTGCCGACACAGGCACCGACACAGCCCAGCAAACCTGAGGTCTACTTTATCCGCTACAAAACTCAGGTAACGATTTATCTTCTTTCACTTTTTTTTTTTTGTTTGACGATTCGACGATGTAATGTCCATTCACCATGTTCATGCGTTCTACCACTTAATATACCAACGTACATTAACTTTCTTGACCTGACAATCTTGACTGAACTTTTTATGTCCGTATCTATCTTTTCTTAATTCTTAAAACAGGAAGAGAATAAAAAGTGAAACCGTGATCAGACTAGAGATTGAGATTGAGATGGGATTGGAATTTAACTGATCAGAAGAAAGAAAACCAATATCAAGTTTAGTGACCTTTCCTTTGATTGATCAAATTACAATAATTCAATCTCAATCTCAATCTCTAGTCTGATCACGACTTCACTTTTTATATTCTTCTAGTTCTAAGAATTAGGAAAAGATCGAGTAAATTAGACAGAGAGATTAAAATTAATCCACAGTGGTAGAAGTAGGTCTAATTCATGTAGGTTTTTTTTTTTAATGCAATTGCGCTTAAGCGCGTGAATTCGAGTCTCGGCAAGAATAACGGCGTCTCTATCGTCGGATCTAAATGCAGTGCGTTGCGTAATCTTCAGTTGCTCAAAGCACAAACGTTGCTCAAACGCGTATACATGTACGGATAGTTACTTTCAAAGCAATTTATCGAGGAGCGATTTCGGTTAAACGGCGAACACTGAGAGATGAAAGTGTGCCTCGCGGCATGTAAATTGCTCATTTCGATGATAGGAGCTGAATGGCGCGGCGCGACGCACGTTTTTGCTTCGAATATGAAAGAATCCGGATGTTGGACGCGAGACAATCGCACGTCTTAGACAATCTTACTGTTAATCGGACTCATCTTTCCGTGGCTCGACTATAGAAAAAGAAAAAAAAAGATAAAACTACCAAGGTGATTGCCGTGTCGACGATTTGAGTAATTATGGAGAGTTTCTCTTCAAGTGTCGTTCCCATAACGCCTGTCTGAGCGAACTCATTCAGCGTCGAGATTTCTACAACAATCGTCGCAGGTTTTAGGGATTAATTGTATTGTACATTCTAGTGTTGCTATATAACTTTTCGTTACAAAAGATATCTTTCACTATACACGTTGCGCTCTGCTTAGTAAACTACAAATATCGGAACGTGACCCTTGATCCACTTGATTTTTTGTGACGGTCAAGGGATATTTTTCGATTAAACGCTGAAAATCACTTCTAGCCTAAGTTTCGCTTTTCGAAATTGCTTGGCCTGCTAGGTAAACTACGGATATATTGGCAAGATTTAAAATTATGCGCGAATACGAAGACTAAAACTACGAAACTCTGCTAAATTGCCATCACAGAAAAGATCATGGCTGCGTGATTAGCCACAATATATAAAATTCATATATGCGCTACGTGTCGTCTCTTTTTTTTTTTCTCTCCCTTGTCGTGTCTCTTACGCGTTTATTTTTATGCATTGCAGAAGGAGCAAGGTGGCGGTGAATATGGGCCACCGGGGCAACAACCGGGGCAGCCCATCGATAGTTACGGAGCACCACATCCGGGTCCGGGCCCCAGTGGACCATATTAGGCTCATCGCACGAGCGCACCCTCACCATCCTCGAGACTTCCGGCACATTTTACGGAGACAAATCTTTAACGGTGATTACTCTCGCGGCCGTTTCGCGATACGTGAGCGCGAACGCGCAAGCCCGGATGGATCTTAATAATTTTAGGAGGGATGTATATATCGCCTGTATCTCGTAAGATAGGCCGCATGGTGTTTTAAAGGTGCTTAAAAGGCAGACGCTTCGTGTTGCTAAAGCCTATGATGTCGCTCGCGCACACACATACTATACATTCACATACACACTCACACATACGCATACATAACACGTTCTTGAACGACCGAGTACGTTTGTCGGGGTTTTCTGTTGAAATATGAAAAAAAAAAGAAAAAATTTTTAATATTTTTATATACGAGACGTCGATGTTTTTTTGTATCTTTGTATCTTTTAAGAAAATAATTTTAAATACATTTTTTATATCAAACAATTTCTGGCATTATTAATCTTCACTGCCTTTCTCTTCGCTAGTTTCACATCTCGTTTTTTACCCTTTTTTCTCTCTCTTTCTTTCTCGTTCATGTCTTATTAACGATGCAATACAAAATCGAAATTGTTGAAATTCAGACCGCAGGCGCACTTACAAGCGTTAGCTTTTAAACAATGTTTCAGAGTCCTGAACAACTGTACACTCAAAAATGTATCTTCTTTTGATACATATTTTGTTAACTAAATTTACGATTATTAAAATAAATACATTCGGAACGTGAGTTCCGAATAATAATTTTGATAAGGTATTCGTAAATATACAATGCAGCGCACTTGCCTAAAGTTTTGCATTAGTATTAAATAAACGTACAACAAGCGTGTGAATTTTAATTTTTTCTCAAGTTAACAATTATAATTTCGAAATATAATTATAATTGCCAAATAATTATAATTATATAATTAAATATTATAATTATAGTTAAATAATTCCTAAATTAAAATTCACACTTCCGCGGCTTATGAACTAGTTACAAGAGTGTCGCATCAAAAGAATTATGTCGGATCATTCTATTCACTTCGACCCTATAATAAATGCTATTGGCAAATGCAACATAACTTCTGATTGTGCTACAATTGTATAGCCTTAATATCTAAAATTTTGTAAATCTGTACGTAATTACGTCAAAGATTCCAGAGACTGGGATCGTATACTTGAGATCGATAAATTAAAGTAGTTAGGCAAAATACTACAAATAATTTCTTGTCGATCTAACATGATCGTTGAATATAATAAGGTGTTAAACAATTGTAAAGCACATCAGAATCTGGACATTTTATTTTTATATCGAACTGGTACTTACTAATTCTCTTAATTCGATGAGCTGTGTGTTCGAAGGCTGTGTGCGTAATAAGAGCTGCGTATTCCTACTACAATACGAATAAATAGGTAGATCGTTGTTAGACTTTTATCTACAAAAATAATTGCGAATATATAAGATTGAAAATCGCTTCTCGCGTCACTTTATACCGTATATTGATACTAATGCAGCGTGCGTACATACGGTAGAAGGTACACACCCGACTAGAATTACGGTTTGTTATCGTCGTATTTACATCTAGAGAGGTACAGTAAAACGCTGTTAATTGCATTAGATCGGTAAAACGTAGCACACTATGATAAAATATATATTTCAATTTAAATCGTGCACGATATCACGTACTTGACTATGTTGTTTCAGTTATTTTTGCGTTTACAAAATTACGGTTATTCTCTAAATATCTTGTGTAACGCAATTTCTCTAAATTTCTTTTTGCGAATAGATATTCTTATTACGATACCTAGATACCTAATTTTTTCTCTCGTATCTTTTTAGGATATTATGATACTTGATTAACTTACGCAGTCGCTACCATTGTATCATAACAGTCCTTATCACTAAAAGGCATAACGCGTTTTAACAGATTTTATTACCAATGGAATATACATATAAATAAAACTTTGATCAATCGAACATTCTAGATATACAAAAATATGATTAAAGATGCAAGAACGTATTGTTGTAGGAAAATACTGAAGTATCTAGAATTATTGTTGGTATTTCGTGAATTTTTGTGTCGCAAAGTTTGATCGTAGATACTTCCAAGTACAGGCACACGAAATTACCGACCAGCGGAATTTTCTTTGAACGGTGCATCGATTTACAAATTAATAATGTTCTTAATTGTAATATGAGTAAGTATATCCCATTACTACCGCTATTTCGTTTCAGCGACGGATTACAAATTCTTCAAAGGAATTTTTTACTTGCTGCACTCGATCGTCGAGGTTATATTTAAGCGACGGAAATTTATAACATCATGTTATAAGAATTCATAACCGTACGAAACGTGGTAGTAATGACAATATGCCTTATTATTTCCCGTATCTTCCGTTGGATATGCGCTATCACATTTCTTTTGAAGACTAATGACTGTAAGTGAACATAACTAGATCAGCGTCCATTACACTACAGCTGCATGTCTTCTAAAGTCGATTCGAACGATGGAAAGAAAAACAAGTACAATACCTTAATAATATCGAAGAAAAAGAAAAAAAGAGATCGTATTATCTTATTCTCGGTGCGATCGCTGACGTTCATGTCTTTGACCAAGTAATCGTTTAATGTACGGCGCGAGCAGCGGATAAGATAGGAAGAACACATGTCCGCAATAATACAAACTAGCGTAAACTTGGTTATACCGCGGATACGAGAGAAGTACGAACGATACGAGGCTATAGCCCATGAAAACAAAAGTGTAAAGCTTCAGAAAGATCCAAGCGAGAACGCGTGCTTCCCATCGTGTTTTCAGCAGCGTTTGTACTATCTCGCTGTTCTTTAATACCGGTCCAATCTATAAAAAAAAAAAGAAAGAAAGGATTAAACAATAAAGAAGCAATAAAATTTCAAAAAATCTTGCAAAATTCTATGAACAACAATACTTACGTCTCGCTCGAAATATAATACAACAAATTCCATAAAGAAACAGTGATAGTATCCAGAGTGAAAACCGTGCCAGAGAGCAAGGAAGAGTAGAGTCATTATTTGACTGTACATTTTTGAACCTAGAAACTTCAGTCTCTTGTAAATGTACTCCGCACACCAGTGGTTGGTATTTATGTTGAACGAGAGAATGTAGTCATTGAACTGCATGGTAGTTTCGAATGTTCGCAGTTTAACATTTGCGCAACCGTCCCACTTAACACGACCTTCAGAGTCTTTTCCATTATATGTAAGACCAAAGACGATGCACACCTGATGTCAATAATCGATATGCACAAACGTACACGTTACAGATAAATAATATCAAAAATTATATTTCGATTATACGTACTCCCTCAGTGATTAGCCAAACGCTGATGTATTTGTAGAGATTGATGCGGCCCCATAAGCCAATTACCAAGCATTTCTTTATTAAATTTAGCTTCTGGAATGACGGTTCAAAGAGATACTGATCAGAAACGTAAACTGTACCGATTTGGAATATCACTACATATATGAATCCGATAAAAGCTCGTAGCAATCCCGCCGACACGCAATCTGGCAACTTGATAGCACCAGTTTGAGGATCCTAAAATAAAAAAAAACATGCTATTTATATTAACTGGACGTATTTTCTCAAACTGGAGAACTAAATATGAATGAATTCGTCGATAAACAATCTAAAAGCTATCGACTAGTATTTTTCCAATTTATTAACGTACGCGTTCTGCGAGCTGACCATTGACATAGTCCAAGTATCGTTGCATACTGAACTGCGGTCCGATCAGGAAGGCGCCCGGAAAATAAGCATACGCCGCAATTTCCAATAGCGATGGTCGTTTCTTCAAGATAACCCGTTTTTGACTATCGGAGAGCTCCTCCTACAATACAGTCCGTGATCATTACTTCAAGAAATAAATATAAGGTAATGGAATTATGAAAAAATAGCGTTTCGTACGTCACGTTTTTGACCGTCCCATAAATTAAATGCAAGTCCTATTAATCTAAGGGTTAGCACACACTGCGGCATTGTCCATTTTATATCGTAATCTTGGGTACTGGTGGTGTAATAGCCTGTATTGGGAAATAATTTCGTTTAAATGCTTTGTAGCTTGAAACGATCGACTAAAAAGAATGAAAAAACGATGAAGCTTGTCTACCAACGCAAGCAAACAATTATAAAACTAGAAAGTAATAATAAACATTATTACGGTACAATCAAAATAATATTAAAAATATTAATTTTTTCATATTGTGTGTCGCCAACAACAGTTCGAATAATTAAAGCCGTAATACTAAATACATAATAACACTGTAATGACAGATCAAGCCAACCACATATACGTTCAAGTATATATGCACAAGCACGCTTATCAAGTCAGAACGTATAGATAACAAAATTGTACAACTATCATAAATACAATACACATATTCCGGTAAACTTGCACATATATACTTGATAATTTACTTAAATGTATGCCATTGACTTAAAATGTTGCAATACGAGAAAATTATTTTTTACTATCGTTAGAATTGTTCAGTTTTAACGTAAAATATGTTGTACTTCTTATGCCGTTCTAGTTTTCAAGACAAGGAACATGAATTTAAATTATACTCGTAAATCAAAAAAGATTTATTGCTAGAAGCTTTGAACACATTATTGCAAGTCCATGATCACCGCGCCAGCTAGCTAGAGAATACTAAATAGATAGTGCCGCAGGGTAAATATATAAATGCACGGACCGGTTTTTCGACTGTGAATACATTTTTAAATTTGCTGCATTGTAGCTTTACCATAAAGTAGATACATCATGTTGAAGAGAAATGTTACTATGACGGATAACCCGCTGCTGCCGAGAACCGTCAGAATCAGATACGTTCCGCATACCGCCGTTGATGAATGAAGTATGTTATAATCTGCAAAATCATTATTATTACTGTGAGTGTCCTTATGAATAGGTGAACGCCGTCATTTGCGTGTCATTTGCGTGTCAATCGAATTGAGATGTTCAAATAAATTACCGTAATTCCAGTAACCAATTGAGAGACCGCACGCTATGAAAAATAAATGTTGACGAATAGGATCTTTGCCGTAGAGTGTATACCTATGAAGAAGGGCAACAGGGAATCCTGAAATCAAATTACATAATTTCTTATTTTGACCCTCGATTATTGTAGCTCAACATTAGTTATTTCTATAATTTTCTTCGTCCTCCTCTTTACGTTTTCTCATTTGTATATCAATTTTTAATAAGAGCAGTAAATGTTAACGTTGCTATGTAAATTTTATATATAAGTATACACATAAAATTTATACATTGTGATTACTAAAGCCTCTAAAAATCTGATCAAAATTATTTATATCAATGTTATCATAAATTTTCTTTGGAATGATTTTAGAAAATTAAAATAATAGAAAAGCACATAGTATATATGATTAAACATATATATATATTACATATACATATATTAATATATGTATATAACAGCGCTATGTTGTGTACAGTAATAAATTACAAGAATAAACGGTACTTGTCGAGCTACTACATACTGATTAAGTGAGTTTTTAATCCATCAACTGATTAATCGTAGTATGCGCAAATGCAATTTTGCTTCGCAAAAACTGTATTTGTAGCTAATGTATATATCACGTATTTGAAGCACTTTTAAATATCTTCATTAAATATTTTATAATAGTAAATAAAACAGTATTTAATTTATTTAGGAAATTTAAAATTAACATGTCACAGATATTATATTTAATACATATAATTTTAATCAACTTTTTCTATTTGCATACATAAATGCAATAATTTGTGTATTTAATCAGAAGTAATAAACTGTATTTAAAAAATAACATTAAATATCACTTATTATCGCTTATTTTAAATGAGATCGATTACTTGGATAGAAACTGTACCCAAATAAAATAACAACAAACATGTGCCACTCTGTATATGGAGAAAAATATCTTCAAAATATAATATTCGAAAACTAGTAAACGCTATAGAATAAATAATATAGAAAATTGTCTATTTTCAATATTCGTTTTAAACAAAGAAAAATTGCTTTCGATGTTAGTTGTATAATTTTTTAGTATAATACAATAAAATCATTCTAATTATCACAATTTGACAATAGTAAAACAAAAAAATTAGAATTGTTGTGACATTATATTATTAAGACAGATATAATAAACCTATTCTTTATCAAAGAATTTTCAGAACTGATGCACCTGGTGCAATAAGTTAAAAGTAAAAAAATAGTTTATTTCACTTCATGTTATTGTGTCATATGCACATATGCACCAGTTCAGAGAGTTTATCGATAAAGAACAGACTTTAGAAAATGATGATTAAATACAAGTAACTTAATATAGTGAGCCTATTTTTAGAGAAATTTTATATTAATAACGCAAGTGTAAAAAGTAATATGTAATTATAAACTGTTACCTTTTTAAAAGTTGCATTTATATATATCTCAAATCTTAATTAAAAAATTTTTCCTTGTATAATGATACCTTATATATCACATTATGACTCTATACATTAATTATTAATATATCACATTATATTATGCTATATTATGATATTGTATAATATATATCATGCTATTATATTTTATCTTTTGTATGATATTACAATTATAATTATTACACACACACACACACACACCACACACATATATATACACATTTATATACATATATCATACATATGTCAGCCAATAATTGTTTCGTTTTTGGAACTCATTAAAACGCTCAAAATAGCTTTATCTTGTTCTCTGATAAATAGTTATCGTAGTTATAATTGGAAAATTTAAGATTATAGTAAAACTAAATTTTTATCAGATAAGTACGATGATAAAATCTGAAAGGTAATTTCCAAAGATAAAATTTTTCTCTTAATTTTTTTTATTTTACCACTTTTTGCTTAATTAAATTTGTTATTCGTAGACATGCCTAACTAGTTTCATGCTTGTATTCTTGCGCAATTTGTCTATTTAAATTCCGTCTCTTGCTCTACGCTTCAGAGCTCTACTTTTCTGAGCCTTTAGCCTTGAATTTATATCACATACGAAAATCTATAACATACGTACTATAACATTTTCGTGTGCTGCATTTTTCGAGAATAAGAGACCTCTGATATGTATTATGAAATTGTACGAAATTCCGGTCGAAATTATTCAATTATTATTCCCTATATTTCTACAATATTGTATAATATTTTCTTCAGAAAAAACGGAGTAATTCCGATCGGATTCATTCCAAATAATTCTATAAATGTCATAACGTGCCCTATGCCATTATTATTTTGCTACGATATCTTGAATCAAATTATCATTTTGTTACAAAGAGCCATTCTAGTACAATACAACTTTGCCTCTTTAAAAAAAATTTGTTTTTCATGACTCTCTTTGTAAATACTCGATTTGTTGCAATTAAAACTTATACCTAAGAAATAAAATTATTATTCTTCGTAATCACAACATCTTGAACACTATATTATGTATTTATTTTATAAAATATTTAATATGTTATGAAAAATAAATATACATGACTATTATATTTTTGAATTATGTTCTATTAAAAGTGAAATAGATAATTCGACTTTATTTTAAGACGAAATAGATCGTATCTCTTTTTTATGCAGTAAATTATAGCGTAAAGCAGTTATGTAACGTGACGCGGTCGTAAATAAACACAACATATGTATCTATCACCTGTATCTATCATGTTTATATATGTATACAGACATAAATATACTACACGTCTGCATTTTTTATTCCTTTATTCATCTCGGATTTCTTACACACACACACATACACATAATTTGATATTAACTATTTTCGTATTTTTTGCATTAACTAAATTCATATGATTATAATCACGTATTGCTGGAAAAAAGAAATATCGGCATTTACAGGCAAAGTATAAATTATACTCTTTATTTCCTGTATATGAAGAAAGAAAAGAATCTTGGAAAATAAAACGCGATTTTTGATGTTAAAACAAAATACAGAGGCCATGAGGTGCATTTCGTTATTCACTACTGATAATTCAATCAAGTACTGATAATTTATAGTTCGTGTGTACTATTTATCATGGAACAAGTTTCAGAATAAATTTCGATCGGAATTAAAAATCATTTATATTAGCCGTAAACTGTTAATTTATTTCGTAAGCTATAAGAAATGGACCATTCACAGTCAAATTTGAGAAGAATAATCAACTTTATTCTCCTCACATTCGACTGTAATTGGTCAATTTCTTAAGTTAACAGTTTACGGCTAGAATAAATGTGATACTTCATTTCCTTTTCCTTAGAAAACACAATAAAAATCTAATTAATTAATTCTAATCAGAATTTATTCTGATTACATTTAATTAATTAAATTTCTGTTGATTCTAATTAGAATCAATTAATTAGATTTCTATTGTGTTTTCTAAAGAAAATTACAATTAATTCTAATTACAACCCGAATTTTATATTACTTATGTATATTGCGTACCCAAGGAACACACCAATGAGAAAATTAAAATGACTTTATTTTGAGATCACGAAGGTTTGACTGTTTATGGACGTTAAAAAATTCAAATGAAGTTACTTTGATTTCTGTTGATGTTTATATATGTTTCTTGGATCGTAGTGAATAACAGAGAACGCAGCCGAAAACAGAATCCGCGCACATGCCTTTTTACGGGACACGGAAATGAGAACGAGAGGCTGATAGTGAACGCGTGTATTTTAACGATTAGATGAGCAACCTTCGCATAGAGGCAATTACGCCGTTATAATGTATCAACTATATGTACATACACGCTATAACGACGTAATATAGCGAAGCGAGGGATGTCCCCGAAGAGAACCACGAGGCTGTGAGGGGGAGGGAGGGGGGGGGAGGAGGGAAGGGGAACAAAGGAATACGGGGAGGGTAGTCGTACGTCGGCGATCGAGCGGAGTCATGAATGAACGCGGATTGATTTGTCCGGAGCAGTCCGGGAGTGAATAAAGAAATCTCGCAAGAATGGAGAAAGAGAGAAAAAGAGAACGGAAGATAGAAGACGAGGGTTTTCCGGAGGGATCCCATGGGGAGAACGAGTCGCCCTTTGTCGTAAAACGTAAACGTATGCAACACGAAGGAGAGAAGAAACGGTTAGGTTTACCTAGTAAAATTGAGATGAGGAGACGCAGTGCGGCTTCCGGAGCGCCCAGGAATGTCGACAGTCTCGCCAGCCCACCCGGGCTGTGCACCACGTTGCTCATGATCGACGATGGAGGAGAGAACAGCACGGACGACGACGACGACGACGACGACGGCAATGCTTGTCAGCACGTAGCGGCGTCGAGTGTACGCGGCAAATGCTATAGCATGGCCGCGTTGTTACGCGCGCGTGTCTCGTCTGCGTGTCGTACCTTTAATCAGCAGCGGCGATTGCCGCCAACTACCACCGTCACCACCGTCAACAACGCGCTAACCGTCACTGTACTCTCGCTATCGAGCTCTCTCGGCGCGGACTGCATGGAGCATGGAGCGCCCGCGATTAACCTTCACCACCGTCGTCGCCACCATCACCACGGACCGTCGCAGCGGCGCGGCGGCGGACGTGCGCGACGGCGGGGTGACGTGGGGTGACGACGCGACGCCGTTACCGGGACGACAGACGACGCGGTCCGAGAGAGCGTCTCGCATCGCGTCAATGGCTGGCATTCAGTAGAGAAAGCAGCCAGAATCGGACTACGCGTTGAAATGAATTGAGATTGCAGATTGAAAATTGAAATTTGACCAATAAGGACAAAGGAGTTTTATTAGCTCCTATTATTTTGATTAGCCAAAATTCAATCTTTCAATCGCAATCTTCAATGCGTAGCCTAATTCCGCCCTTATGACTGTTGTACAATTCTTTAATAATTGCTTTATATACATTTAGGAGGCTACATTCTAAGACATAACAAAATTATTTGTTTATTTATAAAACAACTATAATGTCTCGCAATAGAACTTGACATGAATCATCTTGAATATACAATATTTGAAGTATTCTTGTACAAATAAAATTGAGACTATCATTGTTGATTAAAATAATTCAAAATATATCTGTACATACATATAGTTCATATATATACTATATAATATTATTCGAGTAAATTTTCTTTGGAGAGGATATTTTGAAATGTAGTTTCAGATCTTCGGTGAGGAACTAATATCATATTACAAATTTTATAACAAATCTGTACGACGTATAATTTATAAATCATATGTTTAGATTAAATTAGAAAATGTATAGAACACACAGGACGTATCTTATTGTTTGTCGATAGATCTTATTGTTCTCCTTTTTTCAGATGGCAAAGTTTAAATGAATCTAGACTTTGTGTTGAACTTTTTATCACCGTTCGTGGACTTTGCATTGTAATGTATCATCGTTCGTGGGATACGAGCAATAAAAAAATTGTATATACATATAATAAAGATTTCAACTATTGATTAACAGCGAATTCGCAATTGGACGGTGCGTACTAATGCGTGTTAAAGCCGTTTACACGTCGATTTAAACAGAGTGTAAAAATGAAATACAAACATTTCGTATTATAAAATATTTTATGTTTTATACATGGCATGGATCATTTAAGGAATATTGCAGTAACATTACAATGTTACTGCAAACTATATTCTGTACTGCGTGATTGCGAACTAACAGCTCACGATAAAGTAATGTATTAAGAATTTCGTGATTTACATATATTTATATCGAATATATATCTTTTTGTATCAATTGTGTACGATGATTGTGCACCAATGCACATTGACAATGAGTGTATCCAATCGAATTCACTATAAAGCTATACATATATGATGACACGAGTTCAATTGGTTTAGGAGTTATTAAAGTCCTTTCGAAAGATTTGTTCTCAAATATATAAATAAGTTAATTAAAAAAATAATAGATAACTCAAAAATGTTATAAAAATGCTGTATAAAAATATATTTTAATTATTATTTAAATTATTATTCTATGTATTTAATATTATTTAATATTAAATTATAAACGGCAAAGTAAAACGGGTATTATATTTCGTTAGTTTCAACTTTAAAGTAATACGAAAATTTATGACGGTGAATAATATTTCTTTACCGTCATATACAATTAATCGTGATTGTTCCTTGAGAACACAAACACAATCTTTAAATATTCAGTATGTGTGTGTGTGTGTTGCATGACTATCTTTTAGATTACACAAGTCTATTGTTTAAAGCGGAATTTCTTACATTTTTTCCTTCTCTGTTCTTTTTCTTCCAACGTACATATGTCGCCCATACTGTAGTTTGCAGCAACATTGCCGCAATGTTTGCAGTATTATTGCAATATACTAGAATGTTGCAATGTTACTTTACAATATTGTTAAAATCTGTGCTGTATGGCTAATTCAATTTCCGTTTAATTGTACGTTTATTTTTAAATACGGCAAGTGCAACGTAAAGCTATAGAGGAATAGATCTCAGTCTGTAAACTCTCGATCATTCTTGATCGGTTCCAAGATCACGATCCAAATGATTTTGAAATATAGTACGAGCAACCGATGCCGAATGGCCTTTGCATATATTAAATGGGTCGAATGAGGCCAATCGAGGCTGCCAACGGGCCAACTAGGCCGACACAGACCGGCGCTTTCAAGTCAGAGCTGCGCGACCGCCAGGGATTTGGAGTCGCAAGCGACGATCTTTCATCTCAGCAAGGATCGATCGATCCAGCGGGTGTCGAGAGTACGAATAACTCTCGCGAGCGTTTACAGTGCCAAGGCATTGCACTGGCGGATTCACGGAGGAGCCATGGCGACCTTAAAGCTTCGAAAGCTTCATCTTTTTTAAAAATATTTATAACGAAATGTTATATAAATTTGTAACATTTTTTAAATGCTTAATCATAATTTTAATATTTAAAAAATTCCTAAGATATACAAAAACATAGATTTTATTATATTTTTCTTCTTTTGCGTTAATATAATTTTAAATATAAAATATTTTATAAATTTTACATTTAAATAATTATTTTTCAATGTAATAATTCAAATAATGATTTTATATTTTATATTAAAAAAATTTTGCTTGTGGTGCGCCAATGGTTTTCCCCTCCTTAACAAATTTTTGGACCCGCTAATGTGCCAAGGTCCAGTGAGAAATGACTCACCGAATTGATGTCAAATCAAGATCGGTTATTATTTTGATGTTAATTCGATGTCAAGTTTATAATATTATAATTGACGACTATTTCTCGCTAGGTACACTAAAAAAAAACTAAATTTTAATATATATTTATTTGTATATATATATATATATAGTTCGAATTAAATATTCACCAAATATAAACATTTATTTGATACAAAAACCATTAATTATATAACTTAATTAATTTTTTTATTTGTAAATATTTTTATTTGTATAAATATTTACTTTAAAGAGAGCCTCTTTCACCAACCTCTGATTAAGTTAATCAATAATTAACTCGCTGAAGTGCCAACAGCGGTTTAATTTATCAGAATTAACTTCTGCTCTTTCGTCCTCTTTGGAGACAAATTATGTTTAATTCTCACGTTGACGATCATGATGATTGAGTTAATCATCAATTAAAATTAATCGGAACTGAAAGAAGGCCTCAGTATACTATTCAAAGAAATGTGTATATTAAGATTCAACAATTCTTTTTCAATATAAATAGTATTTTCTTATTTCATTTCGCGCACGTTAGTATAAGTCATTATGCAGCATACAAAGTCGCGATTGAATTATAGTAAGCAGAAATTCGATCAAACACTTGCAAAATTGTGATTTTTTCGCGAATACTCTTCCGCGAGTTATTGATTTAGCATATATACAAGTTTACGTGGAAGATTTAGAAACCGAACGGATGAATACTTTGAGTCGGTAACTAGAGATAACGGTGATTGCACTTTCTCTGGAAATGTAGGCACAGTGAAACGCGGACGAGTGTTTTTCTCTATAATCACTTTCGCTCCCTCTTCTTCTCATTGTCCGGTGAAATCATACGATAAATCGTTCCGATAGGAGAGACGAGTGAAAGAGCGATTGTTTTCGACAATAGATATAAAAACACGACACTATATTAGTCAGACTTGTTTTCAATCAAGATTAAAATGGAAAACTATGTAAAAAAATCCTCTGCCTCTCACAATTTTTATAATATACAAAATAATTAACAGTTTCTAATTTTAAAACCAATAGTAATAATAGAAATAAAAATCGGTATGGTATTATTACTGGACATTAACATCAAACAATTATAAGAGAAAAATATATAACACGAAATATAAACATAACATACAATTCAAACGAGAAAGGAATAATGCACGTAAATCACTAACGTATACATGATTAAGTACACTATACGTATGCAATTATGTATATAAATAATGTATGTGTATAAATATGAATTAATGTACACAGTTGTGTATATTGTGTTACTGTATACATTAATTTATGTATATTATTAATTACCCACCACACCTAGGCAAAAAAAATAAGTCACGATAATATCAAAATGACATTAAAAATGTACATATATAAAATATAAATAATTAAAAAATAATTTTTTCAGTGAGCATTTTAGGGCCAATTTGGCATTATTTTTATATGATGACGACTTACGAATTATGTTCTGCTTGAATAATAATTTTAATTATGATTAATTAAAATTATGTTATTATGAACATAAATTTATATATACGTATACATGTATATTATTATTTCGTTAATGTAATTTTATCAATATATATAGAAGATACCTTATTTTATTTTAAATAATTAATTTTTCCCGGAATTATTAATACAAAAAAAATTTCAGATAAAAAAATGGAACAGTTTCAAAGAAAATGTATTTTGGTCACCTTGTATTCTTTTTAGGTGGAAACGCCCAAAAGATATGAAGGTCATCTCCACTGTTTTAAATGGAATTATGTAATTTTTTTACATGATATATTCTAATTATTTGCATATACAATATATATACGAGTGCTAAACTGCGGGCTTTTTAGTAACGAAACGCACTTAATATATTGAATAAAATGGAACACTATATATCACAGATACTACGCCCAAAAACCGTATTGTTTATTATATCGGTATTCAATAATAGCAGCAGTAGTAGCCATATATAATATATAAATTATCGGAAAATTGGAGCTAAAAAATATTAAATTTTTAATATTTATTGGAAAAGGCAAATATTTATCAAATGTAAATATATATTTATTTGCTATATATATAAAAATCAGTAATTTTAACTACCATTTTTTGTTGAATAAATATTTATTTACTCTACATAAGTTTTTATTTGTTACTAAATATTCAAAGAAACATGTATTAAGTTTAAAAAGAAAATTTTTTAGTGTGCATTTATTGCTGATATTAAAAATCGAAATGTTAGGTTTAATACTGACATTCGTCATAGTATCAGAATAATAAAGACTATTTTAGTAACGTTATTTTATATATAAAATAGAAATCGCCGCGAGATACTATATGTATGCATACAACGGTCAGTAAAATGATCTTGATGTTCAATCCTTGGTTGTGGGATGGATATACGGAAAGGAGAAATAATAACAGAACGTTCTGCGTTGATCATTTCAGTTCGTCTTATTTCGCGAAATAAACTTAGGTAATATCATAGCGTAGCATCGCGGGTACGCGCGCGTTATGCACACCCGTGCGTTCATTTTGTAAACACGTACGTGTCTATCACAGAATAAATATGGTCGGATGACCCGCGACACGATGGAAAATAATGCGCGATCGCTTCGTTCGCGAGGTACTTTTACTATCTCTTACGCTTTACGCAATCGCCGCAGCTACGCACACGCATACACACACGGAACTCCTCCCGTTTGCGTGAAATTATACGTCGCGGCTCATTTTCCCACGCGTGCAACGTCTACTCCCCCATTGTGGTTCGTCGCGATTCTACACTTTCACGTACTGAGAAAGTGCCCGGGGAGGAAACATCACCTCTTTCTTCTAATGCTTTAATTATTCGAAATGCTTTGCAAACAAACTCGATCGATTCATTTACAGAAAGAAACAGCTAGAATGTCCAAGTCACAGCAAGTATTGTTAGAAAAATATCAAATTGATATGAAATCAAAATCGTAGAACAGAACTACAATAATATTGCACGAATAATAATTTACGTTTTTATAAGGAGAAAGTCCCTTATCTTTGCAATTCTCAAATACATATAATAACGAAAAATTTATAAAATATATTTTTTTTACGAATTTTTTTAGCATCAATTAATTTTAATATCTTGTTACTTCATGTATAAAAGTATAGAATTAAAATTATTGAAAAATTAAAAAATTATTTCACAAGACATTTTATACTTTATCGAGATAACATTTAAAATACTTCTCTCTCCCGTAAAGTAACGAATATATTGTAGCTTTATGTTAATACTCCCATATTCGGAATAAAAACAAATCATACAGTTTCAATGGATATAAAAAATATTGCGGTTAATTTAAAATAGCAGATACTTATGACGTAACTACGTAACTTATGAAAAGTGCATGCGATAAAATTTACACGTATTATATTTCCTTGCTTTAAAAGGTCAAATTTTTTGTTCGAAATATTTGATTTAAAATGTTTCATTCTACTTAATATATCTGGGAGTTCTTTTCCGAGGCTTTCTCCTTACTATTTTCTGCTTCAACGATTTTCGCGTAAATGTGTTTAATGAACATCAATAGAGTAGCTCTTAAGTAACACATTCATGTATTTCATTAAGATTAAGTTAGTCTAATAAATTTTCCTTCTCTCTCTTTCGTCAAAGTTGGCACTTGTAACGTTTTCTCGGATGCAACAGATTGATACTAGCTTTACTACGCAGTGTCTTGCAACTAACAAATATGCCCTCAAGCGTAAAAAGATCAGTCTGTTATTTGTATCGAATCGAATCCTTTTGATCTTTAACTTTTTAAATCTTGCATTAAGGTACTAGACGCAGTTTTAAAATTCCACCTCTGTGTGGTCGAGCTTACAAAAGCAAACTATAAGAAAAGCGTTGTAAAAATAATATCACAGGCCAGTCCGAGTTAGTCGCTTACATGTGTCTTATTTGTTTATACAGAGAGTCGTCTTAAATTATACATTCACTTAGCGCATTGCATTACGAGAGCGAGAGGAAAAGTTGCATGGAGTCTTTATCTGCATGTTTTAATTATAAGAGCTATTTGTGTTCACGCGTATAGTTTATTACTTATATCCGCGCGCCCATGCATTTGAATCAATAACGATAATCTCAACTGTAAAGCTGTCACAACCACGTAATGGTCGAGTTATCGAACCGTCAAGTTATGTTACGAGCAATTGAGCGATCAAAAACAGAACGGCGGAGAACGCGAATCTTTAACTTATCTCTCGCGATGCGAGATATATCAGATATACATATGTGACTTAATTCTTCGTAACCTTTACACAAATTTAATATTGGAAGGTAAATTACTTTATGAATAATTATTAAAATACTTAGAAATAAACATCAAATCTTATAGGACCGTGAGAATTTAAATCAATAAAAACCGATGAACGTGCCGTAATGGGTTTATAAAAATAAATTTGAATATTAAAAGCACCGTTATCCCCAATGTTTTAATATTCAAAATAAATAATTAATTATTACCTTGGTATATAATTTTCTCGATCTTTTACACACGATAGGTCATTCGTGTCTCGAGTTTCATTACTTTAACAAATATATAACAATCATTATATGATCTTCGTGCGTATATATTTTTAGAAAATAAGATTGTAAGGTTGTGTACTTAAAAAAAAAATGTTAATAAATATTAATTATAATTACTTGACGAGTCATGTTTTTCGAAGAAAAATATACAGGACACGAATGACCCAATCATGTACACTAATTGTAAAAGTTAAATTAGTCAGTATTTTTTAAATTGGATTTTTTTTATAAGAAGAAACACATCGCAAGACTTGTCCTTTCTCCTCGTATGTGCTATAAGCTCACACTTATTTTTCCACGCAGTTAAATTATAAATATATTTGCGGAATACCGCCAATGTACCGACGAACATATATACGTATATAACATCGCTGCAAACGTAATATACAATAAATTACTTGACGAAACTTCTATTTCACCGTGTCACGAAACAGCAGGTGTGTATGTGCGTGATAACACGCGTTCACTAAATCACATATAATATGTATTTATACGTGAATGTTTCTCTCTCTTTCTTTCGTTTTGCCTCATTACATATATACAGGTAGTCGTACATCATCGCGTACATTTATCCCGTTAATAATGCAACCCGTTTTTTTCTCTAGGCCGTGACTGTTCCTATTATAATATCCCCCAACGTATATAGACTCTTTATAGTTTCTTATCTCAAATAGGCTCTTTTATATATATCTTTCCTTATATTCATCAAATATACGTAAACAGGTAAACATTTGATTTTTTGCCTTACATGCTATAGTACGCGAATCATGCGTGATAAATACTTTCCTCTTGTATATGTGGTCTTTTTGTCATCAGTGTATGTTTTCTGTAAAGCGTCATTTGCGGAAGGAGAAATTTTACTTTCGCTCCGTGTGATCGTGCCATTTCCATTATGGCTTTATATATGTATAATATATTTTGATTGTATTACAGACACTTTGACTCTCTTTCTTTCTTTGTCTTTTGAACTATAAAAATACAATGTAATTCCTAAAAGCCAATATCTCCGAGCAACTAAACTTTGCAAGAGAGGACACGAAATCTGATCGATGATTTCAACATGTCTTACAATTTTGTCATAATCATTATTCGGCTATTTTATGCTATTATATATTTTTATTTTCATAATATTGAAACGGTATTTAAATTTAATAAATAAAAAAGCTTATAAACGTATACAAAAAATGTTTTCTAATATGATTTTATGAATTTTTTCATAGAAAATTAAAAAATAACGATGAATTTTCTTTCTACAAAAATTAATAAAACGCAAAATATGATAAGGATTGAGATAAAACAAGATAAGACATTGCGAATAAAATTTTTAAATCGCCAATTATCGAATCATTGTCACTTATGAATATAAAGATTTATTTGTATATTTCTTACTTTCAACATTCAATAGATATTAGTCCCCTGTCACGAAAAGTACAAACATAGTGTCCATATTTGTGTATGTGTAGAGTGTATATAATAGATATATCTGTATAATATAGATATACATGTGTACGTGTGTACATATATATGTATCTTCTCATTTAAAAATCATTTGTCTGTTCAACATCTTTTTAAAAATATAATGAGATTTTAGCTCACGTATTCTATACGTTAGTTATCTAGTCATATTTTTCTATATAATCGCGATTACTATTATTTAAAATTAAAATATAATTTTTAAAATTCGCATATTTAAACCACAGAAATCTTTTTTCCCGTTGGAGCCTTATCTTTGGAACTTTATTAGGACTAAATATAAGAGCCCCTTTTATTTATATATATATATAGTATCAGAAATTTAATAATTATTTCGATTGGTACATTAAAATTCTGTCTCTATAACAATGTGCGTCGCGGAGAATTAATTAATCGTCTTCAGTCGTGAATCTCAAGCTCATTGTGCACACGATTAACTTGAAGGATTATAATTTTACTCTGAATATTTTTTTGTAAATTTACGTGCGACAAACATTCATAAATCTATATATTTTACTAAACGGGGCACAAAGAGAACGATTATATATAATATCTATTGCCAATTTTTTTGGATTTCTCGCTCGTAAGCTAAATTCCATATTGCATTGATTTTATATTGCGATAATTATGCGTTTGAGATACGATTGCAAAATCATACCGCGTCAATATTATGGAATGGAATCGCGTGGAAGGAACAATCATATTATCTAACATATCATATATAAATACTCCCGATTATTAACGTAAATAATAACATTCTTTTTTCTATAAATTTACGCCTCACATATTTAATACTATAATAAAGTCTATTTTGGAGCATAAAATGTTTTCACAATGTGAGATCTATCGTTTAGGACGTTACAATATAACGTCTATTTTCTATAAACTCAATAATATCGCTATTTTTTTAAAACTTGATTTGCATAATTTTATTTTTCGTGTAACGACGATATTATAATCTTTTCAACGATATATTTTTTCCTATATAAAGTTCTGCTTTATTTAATCTTGTAAAATCTTTCAACTCTTTTTTTCGCAAGTTTGTGATATAGAAAATTCACGTTTCAAGGTTTTCGAAATTATGTATCGAATATATTGCATTAAAATATTGATGAGCCGATATCAAATCTCAATATTTCAATTTGGTACTATCATGCGTATACATAATGTAAGTACTGTGTCATCTTATTTTACCCGTTTGACAATTTAAACGACGCCTGCGTTATTTATCCTGTGACATTTATAATCATGTTATACTTTCATTCAGCAATTTGGCAGATTAAAAGTTTAAACGCAACTAAAAGTTTACCGTACTCATCCGTTAATCTTAGATCCCGCATTCCGAGAGAACAGAGTTGTCGGTGGGCATTGTGGTCGCGCCAAGATGCAGCGTCGTTGTCGAATTGTCGACGCAATACGGCATTACCTTGCCGTGAAAGCAGGTACCAGAGCAAGTGTTGGTTATAATCAGTAAAAGGCCCGAGAGTGCTGCCAGAATACCGGCAGTCATCAGGCCGAGCGCCGGAAGCTTCTTGGACGAAAAGACCGATCCCTCTTCGAGCTTGAGATAACAGAGACCGGGTAAAATGTAAGCGAGCGGCACCGCGGCGAGAATTCCATTCAACTCGAGAACGATGCCGAGGCAATCCGTCAACATGGAGATCAAGTACGCCATACATATTATCGTCAAGGTGATTATCAGGTACTCGCGGTCCGAATTAGGCACGTAAGCCTCATGTCCCTCCAATTCGTCCGTGCCTTTTATTGCTGTCATGAGTACCTGAATCGATAATAAATCGCGATCGTAATAATTCTTGCAAACGCTCCGATTTACAAGAGTTTACAAGAATAAGATTTACAGAAATTGTCCTTATAAAAAGAACTCCATATTAATTACATGGATGTTTAAATATCAACAAGACTTTTTTTTACGTGAATTATTACAAATCAATGTTGTGGTAGATGCAAATCTTAATACTGGATCCTTTAATATTAGAAGGTAATGATTAATTATTTATGTTGAGTATTAAAAGCACAGTTGCTCACTGCTTGTAAAACGCAAAATAAATAATTAATTACTATCTTTCAGTATCAAATTGGCCAGATTGCACAGTAAGAAGAGCATTAAAGGCATTACCTCGCGCGTAACGAAGCACTCGATGGGGAAGGTAAGCAGTATGGTGCCGCTAAACATCACCCTGGCGAAATTCATCAGATCGTCATCCCAGCAGTAATTCTCCATGAGATCGCCCTGAACATATGACGTGAAGGTCGCGTAACCGGCGATCCCGAAAGCCGCGGCGATTAGGAAAGACGTAAAGAGAGACCAATGTGTCACGATATCCCACTTCTCTTGGGTCGCTCTTTCAATTGAGCTGTAAATCAGGAAGGTATTGTGATGGCACATGAAGGCGAACGCCATTATACCGATAGATGGAACGATCCCCGGGAAATTGGCGAACCTCCAGCTGTCCTTCTGACTCGGACTGTAATCAATCGTCATCTATGATTACATATTGAAATTTTACAGAAGGTATTAATAAACAGACGAAAATCTTGCTTACACCAAGGCAGACATTGTGTCCATCCGGATGAAGATGGCGAGGAGAATGAACCCAACGCAAACTAGAGAGAGAAAGGAGATTTTTGCTAATCGTGCGACGTTTCTGTAGAGACAAAGCGGGACGGTGATGCATAAAGTTGCTAGGAGAATGACGACTTGTCGATGAGCGAGAATGTTCGTCTCATTCATTCCCGTTACTCTTATTAGAACCTTAGTCACCGTATCACCGACGACGACATTGTACGAAACCATTGCTGTAACATTAATATAAAGACGTTTCATAATTGCGTGTTGATTGACGACTGCTATATCATTCCTCTACGTTAAAAATTACACAACTAAAGAAAAAAGAATTTAGAAAAAAAGAAAGGAAAACTATTTTTTAGTTTGATAAAAAATAATTAATCTAGTAGTATCGACAAAAAGAATACATTTGCAATTTTTTCATTTTTGTTTCACAATCCAAAAAACATTTTTAATATGACCAATTTTATTACTTTTTTCAAAAATCACCCCTTTTTGTGGCGATTTTTTTATAAAGTTAAATTAATTCATTTTTATAATTGCTAAAATAATGTTTATCTAACTGATTCATGGTGATAATTCGAAAGTCATATGTTGAGTTATGTCACGGTCGATACAAAAGCCGACACAGATAGACAAATATCATTATATTATTTATCACTTAAGTTTTGTGGAATAGTATTTATTTAAACACTTGTAACACATTCTAGAGAATACGAACTACTAGTATTGTAATATTACGTCAAATTATAATTTCTCACTAAACATATAAATGTAATATAATATAACGCGCGTTGTACATAACACAATTACATTGTTGAATAGGGAATAATAACATTGATGTAATGTTACGGTTAGTTTATGTTCTGTGGAGTACATACCTATGAACGGATAGAGTAACTGCAATATCGTGAGAATGTAGAAACCGACGCGGCCGAAACTCGCTCGCATCAGACCCTGGTAACTCATCTCGCCGCAAATACGCCCGCTTCGTACCATGAGAATTAACGAATAGTCGGTCAACGATGCTACTAAAATTAACAGGGCGATGCCGAGACCGAAGCCGGCTTGATGCAGAGCGTACGGTATTCCTGAAAAATTAACATTAATTTAGTCGCCGTACTTTAAGGGACGGGCTTCGACAGAATATATCAAACGGATTTCTTTTATCTCCTCCGCGATCATTCTGGAAATCGCGGTCTCAAAACTATCATTCTTTACATTTACCGATGACTCCGCTGCCGATGATGGAATTGATGAAATTGAAACTCGCGAGCGGCAGGCTGCTAAATTTGCTGGACTTGTCTTCTACTTCTTCATCCTACAATATGCGTCGACATTAGAACGAATGCTTTTGTTTACATTAATGAGCGTTGGAAAAGAGCGTCAACAGAGAGTTTCGTGATTACGTTAATTAAACGTCACATTGTGTATTCAGACTCGTACCTGCGAATATTTTATGAGCACATTTTCATGCTGATGAATATTAACGGCACGAGCAAGCGAAAATGTCATCCAGAGAGAGGCGCATAATAAAAATACGTGAGTTGATGATAAATTAGTTGGCAAGCAGGAGCTAAACGATTTACACGATCACAGTCAACGGAATAATTTGGAGCGATACCGCGAAAGCGAAGTAGAGGGGCATCGTGATAAAAAAGCACTCCTTGCAAGCGGGAATGATAGCGCATGTTTATATGTCAGGTCGAAGGCCAATGGCCGTGACAAATTGACGAATTGAGCGCGAAAGAGTGCATCGTCCTGTCGGAACAACATTACGCGGGACCAATCGATAGGCCAATATCAGCGAAGCTACTTGGGAAATTTCTGCTGCATGCCAATTAATTCGCTTTGTTGTTCGTGAGAGTCTACTGTAGATTTGCAAATTACAACGTAATGAATCACTGAGTCCGTAGCGATTAATTTGCTCGTATAGTTCCATAATAAGAGCGAAATGAAACGGGAGAAAGAAAGCGAAACAGTATAGAAAGATATAGCGAAATAATTTCTACAGTTAATTCACAGAAAGAAAGATTTTGATGAACTTTGCTATCTAAAAATTTAGTTAATCGATATGAAAATAATTTTGTTTGGACTATCAAAATAATTATATGTACAACATTCGAATAAGTTGCTAGAATATTCGAACTGTTTGCAGCATTGTCATCAACGTTTAAGTGCTCTGCGTTGTATACTCATGCAAAGAAAGAACGAGTTTACTGAAGTATCTAAAAATTTAACCAAATACAAATCCGAAAGCAATTTTATCGGATTGTCAAAATAATCAAGCAGGACTGGTTCACAAAACTGGTCACAAAACTGGTCACAAAACTGGTTGCTAAAATGCCAAAACTTTTCGCAGCTCTTATGCTCTTTATGCTTGAGCATCCTGTATATAATTACTTTAACCGTCCAACAAAATTATTTTCAGATTTGTATCTAACTAGAATAAATTTATTACTTCAGCTTGCCAAACGGCATCGCCAAAAAGGGATTTGATTTAAGATTCATATCTAATCAAATTTTAGATATTTCAGCAAATGTATGGATATACAGTTCTTACCCTAACTAATCGTCTCATGTCATCGTAGGATTCGTCCGATGCGATGCTGCCGATCTGTTGAATTTTTGAAACAATGCATTAGAGACAACCGTTTGCGGTTTTTAAAACGTAATCGATTTCTCTTTCGCTCGCATATCGAAGAAAAAAAATCCAAAAGGGTAACGCGCTTTTCTCTCATTTCTCTCGTCCGTCGCTCGCACTTTCCCTCGTTCACAGGATACTCATGCATCCGTACGAGTACACTGTATAATTGACAATAGTCCCAGACGGATATATAATAGCGCTTTGCGAAAGAAAAAAACAGCGCGGGAGAAATCACGGAGGCATTGATTGAAATGAGCGCGTATATCGGGCGAAATGTCATCGCAGAAATTTCTCATCGCGGATGGAATTGTTAAGGGACTCTCCCTCTCTCTCTCGCTCTCTCTTTCTCTCCCTTGCTCTCCTCCCTCTTCTTTTCAAGATGACGGAAACTTCAATCTCGAAGATATCAGAACCGCTTGTAAGAAGAGGAGCCGTAATTGCGCGTTTCTGTTCGCGCGATTACAAGCAGGAGAGAATCGAGAGAAAATCGCGCGAAACGGAATAAAGATTACGACTTTCCTGCGCTTAAAACCGTGCGGATTAAGAGCAGATATAGAATTAACGAGGTAGCGAAAGTGGCGTGTAGTAACTTTCTCGTAAACTTTTTACGTGGTAAAACTGAGAGGATATTCGCGATTCTCCAACGAGTTGTTCGTAAAATTAGTTTGCAAATCACACAACGGGGTTACTCGATAGTTGTGCAGCGACTATATCTACTTTTCAGTTGAGACCAACTAAAGCCGATTCTATAATAGGCAGTAGCAGTAATGGATTAAAGAATAGACGTAGAAATCAACAAATCACAGTCGAATGTGAGGAGGATAATTAACTATCATTGGTCGATTTCTACGCCTACTCCTTAATCCAGTACTGCTACTGCCCATTGTAGAATGGGCTTAAAAGTAACATATCTATGCTATAATTCCGCACTTATAAATGTAATATAAGTTCAGGGTTGGGGCGATGTTACTCCATTCCTACTAACTTTACCCTCGGTTTAACTTACTCTTCGTTTTTTTCTAATTTTTACAAAAGGAGATCCCGAAGTAGTCCTCATCGATTTTAATGAAATTTGGCATCTTGAATATGAATAAGTTCTTCAATATAAATCACCCTCCATTTGGGCGTAGACGGTCTACCATTTCCGAGATATTCAATTTTCAATATTAAATTTGATAATGGCATTGCCTTTAGGGTGGATCCAAATCTAAACAGAAAAGCAGCAGCCAATCAGAACTCTCGCTGTTTTTGGCTTTCTGCAGCTTTCTATACTGCTTACTACCAGCGCAAGTTTTAATTGACTGCTGCTTTCCTGCTTTCTCTAAAAGTATAAATTCTTTAAAAGTATAAATTCTCAAATAATACAACATAATACCGAATCTTATAAAATAGTGAATTTAATTGTTGCACTCTTCTCATAGCTACATTACATGAGATGTTTGCGATGTTGCTGATAATTAACATTTTGATAATATCTTATTCTCCACAATTGAATGATGAAAATCCACGGGTTACATTACTTTGATGGTGTATACAATCAAAGATACAATCAATAGATACATATAGATACAATCAAAGGCTTAATATATTGTAAAACAGCAACATTATGAAGTTATATCCAATAATTTCGTCAGTGTTTTATTAAGAACAAATTAAGTCGAGACAATGCGTTCAGATATGAAAAACGATGTTGTTGAGTCACTAAAAACTTAAAAACGTTTAACGTTTAATGCATTGTCTCGACTTAATTTATTCTTAACACTGACGAAATTATTGGATATAACTTCATAATGTTTTACAATATATTAAGCCTTTGATTGTATCTCTACACCATCAAAGTAATGTAACCCGTGGATTTTCATCATTCAATTGTGTATATAATATATCTACATTATTATCCATAATATCTACATTATTTTACAGACTTGAGTTTAAATCACATTAGTAATTAATTTTTTTCTGTTTTTTATACGATAATGTTTTACGATAAAAATAATTGTTAATATAAAAAATTCGTTGCTAATGTAATTTGAATTCGAGTCTGTAAATTGAGAAGCTGTTACCATATCTACTATGCTAAAATAATACTTAAATATAAATGTTCTAATAAACTAAAGAAAATATTTTTTATCAAAAAAATTTAATATTAAAATATCTCTCTCTCAGAAATGGTAGACTGTCTACACTCAAATAAAAGGTGATATTCAAAAAAACGTACTCTATAATCCTATTAAATTTCGTTTGAAATCAGTGAGGGCCACTTTGAAGCCTCTCTTTGTTAGAATTTTAAAAAAATGAAGAATTAGTTGAATCAAGATTAAAATTAAATTGTGTGTAGGTACATTGATAGAAAAACGAGCATAATATATAAAAGCAGCACGTTACCGTTACTGATTTGTTACTTCTTCGTTACTTTTTTTTATAATATTAAAGTAAAATATTTTAAAAAATTACATTATATATATATATATGTATATTTAATAATCAATATTAAATGTAAAAATATCAATATGCATTAAAACTTGAAGTTCTATTTATTCCTATAGTAAGTTTTTTTCTTTATATTAAATTTATATATGTATCTAGTAAATCTAGAGACTCTTTTATATTAATATTTTTATTTTTTTAACAAATGCATATCTTTATAAGGAAATTAGATTATAATACACAAACGCAGATTTTACAAACATTGTTTTTAAATACTAATATCGTTATTAAGAATTTACCCTAATACTCACTGTCAATATTGAAAATTTATAATTCATACATACATGTATACTATATATGTATTTTTCAGTATGTAATAGTAGTGACTATCGGCAGCCTAAGATGAAGTAAAAAACATTTATCGATATATAAATTTCTATTATAAAATATTTTAATCATTAAAAAAATTTTATTCAACAGTTAAAGGTAATAAGGGATTAAAGTAACAATAAAAGTAACGGCTGAATTTATCACTGTTATTGTAATAACGTTACCATTACAAAAAAAAGAAAGGATCGTTACCGAAAAAGGTAACGAAAATGATAACAGCGTTACAAATAACTGAAATAACGCGTTACCTCCCAACTTTGAATAAAACATATGGTGTTACACAACAGTTATATTGTTGAATGCGAAATTATAACACAGATGTTATGTTACTTTTAGTTTGTGTCGACTGGGACTAGAAGAGAGATCTCGAGAGATACGTTTATTTTCTAAACAAATTTTCCTCTAGTACGCGAAAAAATATTGTATAATACAAGTAACATAAAAATATATTTTACTTTGCAGCATATGTTTCTGGTGAAAACTGATAGCGAATTCGGCTAGATACATTAATGCATATTTAAAATCGTTGTACATTAATTTAATCTGATTATGAGCGTACAAGTAAAAAATGTAAATATTTCAAATTACGAATATAGTTTACTCACAATAAAATGTTGATTTCATAATTTAATCCGTTTTTACATTTTTCTTGAACATACGTCTTTACGTCAATTTGTACTACATATCTAACCAAACCGCTACGACAACTAATTATTTTTGCTTGGATTAGCAAAAATTATAATACATTCTACATATTGCGAAATGTTATGCAGATATTTTATATCACGCTATGAACATATAGAAGCTTACAGTGTAATCAAACAAAAAACCTATGCTCTCATCAATCAATCTTGTATTATATGTAAAAAAAAATATTTCATCTATATCAATATTTATAGTTTTCATTACAAAAAGTACGTTTAATTTACGTAAAAGCAATTTAGGTTGTAAGACCTCTCTTTCACTTTACGGGAACTTGGACATTTTAAATTGCAAAATATTTAAATAAACCTTCTGTAAAACGTAACATCTGTGAATAAAAGTACCATAATTTTTGTACATTCCAGTTAAATTAAATTCCGTCGATAAATTCCAGGATGTCAAAAACTTATTGTAATTTTTATTCTATTTTATTCGCGTAGCAAATCTTGATAAGACGTAAGAAAAAAAAGACGTTAGGAAGAAAGAACACAAAAAAAAAAGAGATGCAAAACGTTCTCTTCTCGTCGTAACGCGGTTTAGTGATCTGCATACATCTGCATATCGTTTCGCCGGCAACAATTTTGTTCGCTCGTAAAAAAAGCAAAATGGGAACGTGTTCGGTTGACGCGGAAGACCATGTCCCGTTGAATAGAACAAGATAGAGACGGTTTACTCACATCCTCGAAGTTCTCTCTCGCATCCAGGATGTAGCTCTTCTCGTTGACATCGGACACGGCGTGAACCATCCTGATCTTGTGATCAGGATCCTTTTGCGATGAAGACGATCTAACGGGAGAAATGATAGCGCGAAAAAAACTAGTGCGAAACTTAAAGGGAGGAAACGAGGCTCGCGGACAGGTCCGTAGACGTCTGAAGTTCCGGCCTATCTTCTGCCCCTTCTTCAGTTTCTCGCTTCTCGTCTTTCCCCTCTGGCTATCCGTTCTCCCTCTCTTGTATACTATCTCGATCCGCTTCCCTTATTCTATCCCTCTACTCACGCACGCGCGTACACATATTTTCACCGATTTCTCCCTCCCTGCGAGCCTCAATCACACCCCATCATCCTCCCTAGTTTTCATCCTCTCTCTCTCTCTCTCTCTCTCTCTCTCTCTCTCTTCTGTTTTCCGTAAACCGGGAAACGCCAGGCTTGCATCTTCTTCGTCTAGCCTATGTACGCCTACGTATGCACACCCCTCATACCCTCTCTTCCGCCCCCTTCATTCATCTATCTCGTCCCACCCTCGTCGCAGCCTCCCAGCTTTCTCCCCCGGTTAACCGGTCGCGTCCTATTTCCTTTCTATCTCTCGTGCTTTCCCTTCATCGAGATATCGAAATACGGGAACGACTGGCAGCCGGGTTTATTGATTCCGCGACGTATATATCTTCTCTGTCGGTGATTCCAGTTTTCACCGGAACTTCATTTCGCGTGCAGGACTCATCCTGCATTTTATTTTTTATAAAATATGTAAGCCGCGCGCGCACGAGATCCGCATCAGATCGTTACATTATGCAGATTTAACATAAGCTCGATACTTCGCTGTTTGCAAACAAATAAGTCCAATGTATTACAAAAATTGGATCTTCCAGTTCTAATATATAATAATTTATCAGCTGATTAGTTTTTTATCAATTTTTTAAATTACATATCAACAGCATACATTCATACGAGATTTCCTCTAATGCTAAATTTCTACCAATGTGAATTAATTTTAATCTTAATTTAATTTACATATCTTATTCAAGTACTAAGAATTGAAAAAATATAAAGAGTAAATTAAACCAAGATTAAAATTAATTTACATGGATAAAAATGCACAGAATTATAAACACTAACGTCTCCGTGTGGGTAACATATAATCAAAGATCTTGAACACGCTATTAAGTCTCACGGCAGCTTTTAGATATATTTACAATTCTATATTACATTTTTACAAATTTAAACAACAATTTCACATTATAGATTCTCAAGAGAGAATCTGTCGCAGAATATAATTATTTGATTGTTCGTTACCGAGACCGCTGTCGAGACAACGCATGAAAATAGTTTTAAATTCTTAGTTACATTTTATACATAATTTTAATATAGGAACAGAAACGAGAACGTGTTAGTTATGAGCTTCAGCCGCTGCCAATTGTTAACTTCTATCACACATTTTCAGTATTATTTTAAACGAAAAGATAGTTTGCTGTAACCGCTCTGGATATATACGCGCATTTTTTTTATACCTATCTTAATTTTAATAAATGTTTCATGCCTCAATTCCATTTAAAATCTTTTCGATACACATTTTACATGAATTTATTTTGGTTATTGATGTCTTGCATTTCGAACGTTAAAAATAAATGAAAATACTATTACGTTTCTGTATATGCGATAATAATGTGTTGACTTAAATAGTGCCTTTATTTTGTTAGATTTGTTGTTGCAGAGAAATCAAACTCACAGTTAAGCAAGACATAAAATTCTTATTTAAATAAACAGTCACACATTCGGAAAGCGAGAAATTAAAAAAATATATTTAATTTCTTGCAGCGTAATTGGCTAAAAGTAACAATGGACTGTATTTGAGATTAATACAGTATATATCATGCAGTAATGAAGACAAACAGAATTACGTCAATTTAAAAAATGTTTGAAAAAATACTTTTAATATTACACATTGTGCCATACTTGAGAACATTAATTAAAATTTTAATGTTTTAAAAACTATTATAGATTTTAATACTAAGATTTTCATCGTCAAATAATATCAGGTGTTACTAATGGGTATTAAGATGGATTTAAAAATCTTGTATACATATAACTTATATCACACAAAAAAATCTAAATATAATTTAAAGAATGATTCACGTTTGTCGATATATAAATCTTTTGTTATTGTTCGATTCGTGTCTCTTTCAAAATACCTCCTTTTTCTGTGATTACACCAAACAGCAGTAGAAGTTCCATTGAAGACACTATCATTTAAATAATAAAAGCTGCGTATTTTATCTTACACAATGTACATTTTATATGTCAAAATACAAATGAATGATTCGATAAAATATGAATCAAAAGGACTAGATGGCAATACATTGTTAATAATGCCTTCGAGGCTTTGCAATCAAAAAATATCTTCTGTAACATTCCCAATGGTATTTATATATCAATGGTAGCACTTGCATGTGCTTGGGGTTTCATTTCAATCTATTGTATTAAACTCACACCGCAAACGAGAATGCGCAAATGTAACTGTGAATAAAAAAATTTAATTAAAGGCGTATCCGTATTAAGTGCACACTTAAAATTGCGCTTTTCATGTCGAAAAAGTCAATTGTTACCGTGCGTCGCGTCGTAGACAGCAAGTTTGATAAAATCGGAAACGATCTTCCGTTATGACTGATCACTCTGACTCATATATTCTCACATACTTTATTAGTAGTAAGCGACGCGGTGCTAAATTGCATTCATATAAAATTGAATTGGAATCTTAACGTGATTCCATCAGCATTGCACGTCATCGAACGACAGTTGTCGGGATTGTGCAATGTAGCGTAAGTACACTTTTCGTCGAGACCCTCAAATAGTCAAGTTGTAGCATCTCAAGAAAGTCTCGACGGGTCTTGACGATGAGGTACCACCACCCAACCATTGTTTCCGGAAACAGCGGGCCCTATCGTTGGCGCAGCAGCGGCATTCGTTATCACCCCCCTCTGATCCTTCATGATCTGCAATTGTCGCGTCAGGTTGCGATACAATTTCACCAGGGACTCCTGAAAGTCATCGCGTCAATCGCGATAATAATCGAAGTTGAAGATCTCTTAAACTTAAGGATTTTTTTTAAAGAGTTAGATTATCATGTAATGAAAACTAATCCACTGGTCCAACGGTGCAAGAGAATGTAGAATTCATGCAAAGAGCAATATAAAAAGGAAAAACCTTTTCATCTTCCAGCTTCCGTAACTCCTGCTGCTGTCGGAGACTGTCGAGACTCAGATTCTTCAACATCTCGTTCTTATGCTGGCTTAACAACGCTATTTCCGTTTGGACTTTGAGATATTCCTCGGCTATCTGCTTGTGCTCCTCGAAGATCTCTCGCGAGAGTTTACACGTGTCGTCGGGCGTGAGAGGCCTCAAGTCGGCATCGAGTAGGCGACAAAAGTCTTCACTCGTAGTGCTGCTACCTACGGCATTCCAAGATTTTATCACGGATGTTGATAATCACGAAATTCGTCATATCCGGCTGCAATGAAATACGCATTATTAAGAACATAGTCTTAAATGTAAAAGTGTGGACTTGAGAATATCTTCAGAATATTACAAGATTACATGTTTGCACTGGCAAACAATTCGTGAAGATTTATATCAAATTAATTTATCAAATTATTATGCGCTTCCAGTCTTGTTGGTTGCCCGAAAACATAATTCTTCTTAATTCTGAATACTACTTTGCATATCCGATGAATGTGTACTAACGCAGTAGGACCCAGCAGCGTTTGAGAGTGTCCGTGCCAACGATCTCCGGGTAGTCGTCGCACATGTCGATCATCTAGCAGCTGCTGCTCTCACGCGAGCCTCAGTTACCTCAATGATGTTAACGTTCACAATTATCTCCCGACAATGCGGCTGATCTTGTTGACATAATTCCTTCGTTCGGTTCCTCGGAATCAGCTTCGGATCTCCATCCTAGGATGTAAAAGGCAGCAGTCTCGAAAACAGTGTGATAGAGAATCACAGTGGCAATATTAAGAATCTCACTGAGACGGCTGAATTCTCATAATTATTGCGGTACCGCTCAATTAATGGAATGGTCCGGGAATGGCCGTGTTAAAAAAGTATATCAATTCCCGGTCGGATCGATCGATGTATCCTCGATAAAATCGAGCTCGTATTGCGCGCTTGGCGACCTGCGATCGGCGGGAGGTGCTCCTCCGTAGGGAGTCGGCTCTCTACTAAACAAACGTACGTCTATATTGGGGATGCTGACTCAGCCACACCTGCTTCTAAATACTCCCCACCCTGGCTCCGACGTCGAGGAACGTCGCGGAACGTATATGTGAGCCAAGAACAAAACGCGCTTCGTGGCTTGATTCATCCTCGAGAGAATCTCATGATTTTTTATTCGTCTTGCCATCGTCTTTTCATCATTTTTCTCCTCACTCTCATCCTTCTCTTTTTTGCACATAATGCCTTAGTTTTTTTCTTCTTTTTTTCTCAATAGCTCTTCTGCTATTTCCACAACTGTCTCTCCTCCTCACATTTCCATCGCTGCTGACGCGATGGTCGTCCTCTTCTTCGTCGTCGTAACGTGCCAATCAAAAGCGAGTCACACGTCCTACCGATTAGTCGTCAGTTAAATTTAGTGCACGCGCACATCGCGGCTGCTATTGCGGCTATACGGGCCCTTTGCCAGGGTACACCACCGGCGAACTCCGCCGATCGACGAACCCTCGATGAATATAGCATGCTGAGCTTATAACTTGTCCCTTCTCCGCCTTCTGGTTGCATCTCAAAATTGACCGCAATTATATTATTTATACGGCCGTCGCTATATAAAAATATATAATCCTGTGCACAAGAAAATACTTTTGTCTTTTATACACATATAGTAGTATATGTATATTTGTAAATTTTTATAAGCTTCATGCGCAAAGTTACTTAAGATGTTTAAAAGTATAACAAAATTTATATATCACACATACATCCATATACATATATAATATATTATCGAAAAAAGATAAAAAATTATTATAATTTTAAACGATGTGCAATTATATCTGGATGACCGCATAAACGGAATAATTATTCTATGATGAGATAATAACTACGACGAATCGCATACGTGGAAGTACATTATGAGTAATATGCGTTAGTCGAGGCAGACGAGAGACGAAGACGCGATCGTGGAAGGCACCCGGTGAGTCAGTGCTTAGTATTCTAGGCCGAAAATAATCTACTTCGTGTACCACAAAGCGCTACTCTGTAAGCTCAAAATGTGTGCTCATGTCAGCTCGTCTGAGGTATTGTGTTCATTAAAATATTTCATGTTATCTGATCTATTAATTATATTAATTTCATATTTTTTTCATAACTGTGCCGAAAAATAAAATAATACGATGAATTATGATAGTAACCAATAATAGAAAAAGTGTATATGTTCTTTTCTATCATTAATCTATTATTATATCGCAAATCAAACTTATAGTATTTATAAGACAAATATAATGGTGTCTTATATATGTATGTATTATAAAACATTGCATGCATCATGTGTTGGTCAATTTCTAGAATTTATATATATATATATATATATATGTGTATTTATAATATAATGTTATGTGTTATAAATATACATAAATCTTTTACTTGACATAAATTTAGGTTTTCTCTATTTTAAACTTGTTCCATACTTTTTGTACTTACAGATGACGCAATGTGATTGTACATATTATTAATTTAATTCATGCATTGATTGCCGCATAAGGCATTAAACAGAAACTTGCGCTAATTTTCTTGGCAATGTGCCTTCAACGCGACAGAGACAAGTCTCGTATAGACAGCCAGTTTGGTGCCACAGCCTCCTTGCAATCTTTTTTCGGCACTTGTTCTAAGAAAGACTTGGGTACGTGTTCGCATGCAAGCCCCGTAAAACTCTTACTGTTTATTTATGAATAAATCGAAGCGATCAATATCACATTTGGTCATCACGTACAAAAAACATCAATTAAATAAAAAAAAATGACTTCGTACAAGTATATTTCAAGGTTATTTTTTTTTAATTTAATATATAATTAGAGTTTAATCGCAAAAATCTTAATTTTTTTTATTTAATATATTTGTTCATAAAATAATTCTGTGTTAATTAATAACTCAGTATTATATAGAAAAAGTATTTTCATACAAATAAATAAAAAACTGTACTTACTTTGATTATTTTTCTTTGTTTTGTGAACCACTTTGTCTAATCCGGCCATGTTATTTGGGATTTCCCAAGATGTATCAGAAGAGCTCGGCAAATCCCAGGCATTCTGTAACATGTTAAAAGTAATGTTATTATATAAGATTACTTTTAATATAGAGAGAGAGAGAGAGAGAGAGAGAGAGAGAGAGAGAGAAAAATTCATATATTTTTAATATATATATTACAGATTTAATTATATAAATAGTAATATATAAAAAAGTCAAAAAGAAAGATAGTTATGAACTGTATAAAAAATAAAAATATATAATTAAACGATATAAAAATGATATTTAAGGTTTGTATGTGTGTGTGTGTGTGTGTTTATACACACACTAACAAGAGAATTACTAACCAAATCACATTCCACGTGCAATGGAGCAAAATTGCAATTTTTGCTTTGCAATGCAGCGAATTTGTCGTGTGCCGTCGGTGTTGTTGCATTTTGTGAAATTGATGCATTAGCGTGTTCTAAATTGCTATCCATATTTCCGAGAAAGTTATTCAATACTGGAACCTCAGGTACCCGTTGAAGTCCTAAATTATTTTGTTGCGGTGAAAATTTTGTCGATCTGTCGCTGATCGGCACGGTTTGAGGTAATGTAAAAGGCAATGAATTCTCTTCATTCGAGCATTCGTTAGTTTTTCCTACAGGCTTTGGAATTGTACGAATAGTGCCGTTTTCAACGGAGCCGTTCATACGAAAATCTAATGTACTGATTATATCAAGTGTATCCTCCTTTGATGTTTCGTTTCCGTCTATATCATCTTCACTACCTATAATAGATGTATAATAGATATAATAGACATATGATAGTATATTTTTATATAACAATATATTACGTAATATTTATGAATAAATATGTTGTACATACTTAAGGTATATTCAACAGGTTCTAAATGGCGACTGAAAAATTCTGATAGCTCAGCCATTATCCTCACCACTTCGTCCATAGAAGGTCTTTCTTCAGGTGCTTTCTGCCAACATCTGTCGAGAAAAATAGCAGACATACAACATTAGAGAAATAGATTTTACACATATTTAGTACATATAATTTTTTTACAATCGCATTTTTAAAATTTAATTTTTAAATATCTCCATAAGCATTATAAATTTGTTCATGAATACAGATATCCAAATAGTTAAGCTTGCAGACGTAGATTCTGAGCAAAGTAGCTACTTTTAATGACAAAAAGGTAATAAATTTCATAATATCTAATATAATATCTATAATATATCTAATATCGACATTTCTGCTACCAGAAATAGGACAAAATCTGCTGACATGTATTGCCAGCAGAAACAGAGTAAGATATACAACTCTTACTCGATTTCTGTTGTCAGTATATCATCATATAATACGCAAATAGATTCTGCTAGGTTTCTGCCACCAATCTGCTAGCATAACATATCAACAAACTTTGTTGACAGATCCTAAACTTTATACATGTACAGATGGCTACGGATCTACAATAGGAATCTAATCAGATTTGCTGCCAATCTATCAGCAAACTGCTACATTTTGCTAATAAATCTGGATAGTAAACTTAGATTTATAAATATATAATATCATATGTTATTAAATACTTTGTGTTTTGCACATTTCTTACCTAGTCATAAGATCCTCAATTGGTTTCGGACATCCTTCTATTAAAGGAGGCCTTCGTCCTACATGAACAGCCCACATTAACCTATAGGCTGAAGCACCAAGGTCATCAAAGGGTTTTTTACGTGTTAAAACCTCCCACAAAATGATACCCCAACTAAATACATCGCACTTCTCTGTATACCTAGATCCTTCAAATACTTCTGGTGCCATCCATGCGGCTGAACCTTTATTATTAGTCATATATGTATTTAAGTCACAGGCTGTACCAAAATCACAAATTTTCAGCCTCTGTCCACCCATAACTAATAACAAATTAGGTGGTTTTAGGTCTCTGTAATAAAATTTATCAAATTTACTTCTTGATTCATTTTTCTCGAAAGGATAATTATGAGCATGTCAATGTTTTCTTACCTGTGTATCAATGGTTTTGGTTTCATATTGTGAAGATAAGCAACACCTTGTGCACATTGAAGAGTCCAACTCATAGCATGACCAATAGTATAATGCGGTTGAGGATTGCAATGTAATACTGTATGTAGAAATGTAAAAACTTAATATAATCATTCAGTTCATTTAATTAGAAGAAATCATTTTTTTCTAGACATTACCATTGTACAATGATCCACCTTCTGCATATTCCATCACTAGACATACTGGATTCTTGGTACATGCACCATATAATTTAACAATGTTGGGATGGGCAACTCGAGACAACTGCCGAACTTCCACAGTAAAGGCTTTTCTTTCTCCTTCTGAATTTATATGTTTCACGGCGACATCCTGTCCTCTCCATTTTCCTTTCCACACAACTCCAAAGGATCCCTTACCAACTACCTATAGTCAAATAAGAATCGTATAAATCAATGATATTCTTAAGTCCACAATATACTCTCTAAATTCTTTGGAGTAGAATCTCATTTTAAAAAGCAAAAATTGAGCCAGTCTTGATAAATCTTCAATCTTTAAGAATGAAATTTGCTCTAAAAGTTTTAAAAATAGATTTACTTTAACCTTGATATAATTTTTTATTCCTTCCCAGTATTAAAGAACAAATTAAATTGAGATTAAAGTTAATTAATTGATGTTGATGGAAATAAAGACATTAGTTAAATGTTTTAATCTTGTATATCAAGTTATTGAGTTTGTATGACACAACCATAAAATAGAAAAGACTGTCATCTGATCGCATAGTCTTTTTTAAAGAAAATTTTAAAGCACACTCCAATTAATTAAAGGTCGACTTAATTGGTAGAATTGTTATCAGAGAATTGAACTTCCAGTTGTTTCGTTGTTTCATGATCCAATTTTTCTTTCCATGTATCAAATAGTAAAAAATTAACAATTCTATTTTCATCAACATTACAGACATTACTTAAAAAGAAAATCGAAGTTTCGTCGAAATCATCCTGTATACTCTTGTGTACGAATGATTAGTTCTCTCTCGTTTGAGGTTATCTTGCCGAGATCGAATGTTTCGTGGGAACAACATCATTTCAAAACAAGCTTCGGCTGTGAGAATTAACAATCGAGATGACGTTAAACTCATAAGAAGCATTCAACGAGCATTCGCGGAGCGAGATCAAGAAAATATACAAAGGTAGAGAGAAACTACCTGCTCCGTTTCGATTTCATTATAATCGATTTCTTCAACGAACTGCTGCTGATGGCCGATCATTACTCTGCTTGCCATCGCACACAGTCGACACATAATTTTTTCATTACATGAGAATGATTATCACATTATTGTCAGGGCACATTTAATCAACGTTGCGAGTACGCGCACGAGTACGTGTTTACTTGAATTGGCTTCAAACAACCTCGGAAATCGCCATTTCCCGTAACGAACCGAAGGAAGGGCACTGCACGGCTAATCTTGTTGGGACGAGCAAAGCGCCACTAGAATGGAAGTTATCGTGAGTACGTATTGCTAGTTCTAAATGAGACTGTTGGATGGCGCTCCCTTTTTTTATAAGTATTTATACGTATATGCATTTGTATTAATTTGTTTTTGCAGAGTATATAAACTGGAAATAAACATAGGTATCAGAAAACAATGAACTATACATATAGATTTTCAGTGCTTCATTGCTAACCAAACATTGTAAAACAACCATGATGCAGCCTATGGATATAGGAATAATTAATATGTATCTATACTAATAAATTAAACATCTTCAATTTTATTACATTTTTGTGAAAAATGCAGAAATAAAATAAAAAATAATAAAATAATTATAAAAATGAATATTATTTTTCCATAATTTATAAAAAATTAATTTCTTTTTTCAATTATTTTTAAATATATATTTTACAATAAAATCAATTTTTAATTTATTTTGCATTAAATACTGACTGCTTAGTTTATGTCAATTTGCTTTATATTTATTTATGGCTGCTTATGCTTTATATATTAAGTTCGCACTGCAGTTACACTCATTCTCTCTCATTTTCTCTTTTTCTTTGAAGTGCGTTCAAAGTTGAATTCCTTTCATTCAAGATTTGAATTAAGATGCACTCGATGGAACACTCGATATATTAAATGGTTTTGAAAACGATTAACTTTCAAGAAACAATTTCATGGGGTGAGGACGATGCGCGGTTCACTTGATGCTACAAATGTTTCGAAGCTTTCGATCAACCAATCAAAAGAAAGAATTTTATTAATTAACCAATCAAAAAATGTTTTGAAGCATTCGATAACATCAAATGGACCATAGCCTTGAACCAAATTTCGAAGACTTTTTATTTAACCGTTGGCTTTGAAAAAAAGTAAACAATAATAATTTGTGTTATATACGGCAAGAACTCCAGCTACACACATATAGTAAATACATAAAATGTGTATTAATTCAATATTCTTTGTCTGAAATTTCTTTTCTATTTATCAAACGAAAAAATTTAATAATTTATATTAATAAAATATTTCATTTTTTGACGAGTTAATCATCGATTAATTCACATTGAATAGAATTTAAAGTATAAAAATAGTAAATCTAAATATATATATTAGGGTGTCCGTTATTTTGGCGATTTTCGAAATTTGTACGGGATCCCCCCCCCCCCAAATTTTTAGTAAAAAAATAGAAAAAATTTTGGCGCTAATAAAAAGTTCCTACGATGATTCTAAGTGGAGGCTCATCGATGTTGAAAATTAACCCGTAAATCTTATGGGAAAGAACATTTTTTTAGTATTTCTTCGGGCATTTCCACCGCAGTCAATCTAAAAATCCAGCAAGTGAGATATCTTTTCTTGAATGTTTTCCACGTGAAATGAGCCTAGGTGGAACAAAATCGATCAATTCCGGCCGAGTTATTCCACTTTGAACTTCAATAATTTTTCACCCAAAAAATGAGAAGAGCCTAAAATCTCTCAATAAAATTACAGTAGCTCTGATAGAATGCATTTTAAAATCATGAACCATTGAATTTCACATTTCTTATAGTTTTGCGATTAAAATGACCACCTTACAAATTAAAAACGATCATTTGTAGCCGAATTACCGCAGTTTTTATGAAGAAGTTTTTTTTTACTAAAATCAGGTGAAGGAAATGAAGGTTTAGTTTATTCGCTATATAACTCGAGAGAAAAAAATCGTAAGTTATTGCACGAAATACGATCATATTCCTTACGTTTTTTCCTTTCGAAAAGCATACCTGTCGTCATTGAAAAAAAATTTCTGGACGCCATTCGGTCCCTTTAATATTGCTCTTCTTCGAACGCGAGAAATCTGCAAGCTGATAAATATCTTTCTTATTAATTGTAATCTCATTAGAATGTTGATTTTTCATGCAGATAATTTGAAATCAAGCAGAGAGCTGATAAATCTCATTGAATCGATCGTATTAGAAAGAAATGAGACATTTCAGAATCCTGAAGATACAGTTATATCGTCAAGTCTCAGTAATAAATTATTAAAGTTTCAATTGTTTGCTTATCGTTGGATCCTTAAAATACGCGTTCAGAATATCGACATAGAACATTACAAGGAAATTTACCAGAAAAGTTCCTTTCTACGAACAGGGCAGCCTTCATTGCCTATGGAAAATCATGACAATAGACAGACAGGTAAAAGAATGATTTTTTGCCGTATAAAGATGCGATATTGCACCGAAATAAAAATATTATCTTGATAAGTTTTAATCTTGATTTTTTATATAGATCAGAAGAATTATCGTGTACCACGTGATGTAGATGCAGAGATAAGGACTTACATCAATTCTATTAAAAGGTTTCCAAACCGTTTTGAAGGGTTGGATCTTCTAAACCTGGAGAACTTGAATTTCCGTCAATTAAGGTTTAAATTGGCAGTACATCGTTGGATTTCTAGTACAATAATTCACAATGCCCTTGACAAAACTGCTTTCGGTAACATGATGCCAATTCTACGAGACTGTGAACCTACGTTTCCCATAAAAGAGACTAACGAGATTGAAAAAGGTAACAGAAAAATTTTTGTCGCGCATTATTGTGCCATTATGTTCCATAAAAAATGGAAATATTATTTAACAAAAATTTCGATCTTTTGTTATAGAAATTGAGAAATTGAGTGACGAAGTCATTGATCAGGATAAATTTATTTATATGCACCAGGTAATCTTCGGTTAAATCTTCACAAAATCTAAGGACATTATTAATAGTTTAATTAATGCAATTAATTATTTGATAAATCTATTTATATTGATCATGAAAGAAAGGAAGCAAAGTTTGAACTTTGATTTAACCGAATTGATCTTTTCGCTTATTTGTGTTTTATTTATATGTAAGTCTTTGCCAGTTGTTATTATTGTTTGTATGAGATTCAAAAGAAAGATTTCACCGTACGCGTGTAAAGTCGCATTAATTATCGTCAAACTGCAAACAGCACGCCAAAAATGCATAATTAACGCACATATATACATCCGCTAATTACTACAAATATTCCGTAGTACTTATTATCAGTCATACCGGTAATCCATACAAGCAACGCATCAAATTCAAAGTTCCATTATTCAGTATATATAATCTCAAGTCTTTTATAATTCCAATATGTTTACAATTATTGTGTCGTCTAATAATTATATATAAACTGTAGTAAATCACCGTTTGTTAGAAATGTACAATTTTAATAGTGACCAAGATTGTAATGATAAAGTTAGTAATGGCGATCCATCAATTCATAAGATTGTCGTCTTTCACATTATGACTCGAGATAAAAAAAAAAGTTTAAATAAACAATATTTACAATAAAACAATACAATAAAATAGAAATTTATTCTGATTACTCGAAAAGATTGTAATTATATCTTGTACTTATCGTATTAACAATACGATAAATACAAGATATAATGTTATTATAAAAATTAATTTAATGCTTGACTGATAATTACATGCCATTGTAGATTTCTTTGTAATTTTATTCTGTGGAACAAATTCAATTAATTAAATAAGAACTTATTGTTAATTAAATAAAACCGAACTTTTATTTTATAAAATATACTATTTGTTTTTTCTCTATTAATAAAATACTTTTCAAATAATTGTAGAGATGAAGTGTCTTATATATAAAACGAAATCTATGTAGAAAACCTTTTTGTAAGGATCTAATTGCGAGATTCAAAATCATTTTGAATGTTAAAGAAATTATTCCGATTGGAAAATTTTATGAAATTTCAGAGATACAAAATCAATATCAATCTGAAATATAATGTTTTATAAACATATCTTATTATTTTTTCCAAAATTTCCTCTTTTTAGCTTATATCTTATTATTAAATTACATAAAATATTTTAAGTATTCACAAATGTAAGGATTTAAAGTTTGCTTTTATTAAATCCTTTTAAATTAAATAAATATATATATTTCGAGTAAAATAATATGTCATTATCGTTGAGCTTCTTTCACATTTAATCAATATAAATCAGAAAGGGCGATATAAGAGTCAAACAATAAAATTCCATTTAAAAATAATACTATACTGTCAATACATTTAATTAAAATTTGTAAAGTAAAAAAAATGTATAAATATGATACTAAGTATAAAAAAATATATAAATATAAAAGTTACTTAAAATTAAATACATATCGCGTTATTTCGGCTTGTTTTATACCGTTAATTTAATATCGTAATTTGTTGTTTTTTAAAAGATAATAAGATAACAATGGATGTCAGCAATCCGCAAATTATATGAAAATAGTTATATATGTTAATTACAACTGCGCAATTCACAGTATTATCAAATTAATACCAATTTAATAAAAAAAAAATACAGCCTTTGCGTAACTTTTTTACCCTTGGAATTCTTTAATATAAAATCTCTAAAAATTAAAAACTGGAACAGTCTTGAAAAACAGCAGCTTAATTTTAAATCTTTAAAAATAAGATTTAATCTTCAGGATGAGAATAATTTTAAAAACTGTAGGGAATATTTACATGTATAAAACCTACGCAACGACGATGTAACGATATTGTTACTACCATTAAATGTTACAGAATAATAGGTTTCATATTTTACTTTATCGCCAATTTGCTATATTATACTCTAAAATTTTCCTCAAAAATTATAACTTAATATTTTTTTTTTATAAATTAATTTCTCAGGTAAAATTTGCATACAAAATGATGCTTTCCAGCTAGAAATACGTATGTACAATAAACAGTGAATCATTTAATTTTTGTCTAACATTAGCAAACAACTTAGGAATACATAATGATTCTGTGTTACACTGTGTCATCTTGGAGAAAGCACCCGTCAGTATTAAAATCGTCAATACATCAATAGTTTATGAGATGCCTTATATTTTACTTTGACACGATAAGATATGAAATGTTTCGTATGATATTTAATTTCAATTATCTTTATGAAATATAATTTACAATTTTGTACCATTATATAATA